TATGGTAAATCACTAGACCAAATACAGGTATGGAATTAAACCAAGAACGTGTACCGGTCTGCATAGTGATAGCATATAGCAATACCCTCTCAAGCATTGTCAAATGTTAAAATTTTACTAGCCCTTTAATAGGATACCTTACATTAACAAAACTGGTCATGGCTGGTGGGCCAGTGCTAATTTCAATGCCTGAAATAGAATTGTTGTTTGCCCATGGTCATGAGAGCTGATCCACCGCTAAGGCCTACTCATAATTATTTTGGTCCTGTTTCCATTCAAGACCCCTTTATTGCCTTTATTGTAGGGCTGGTGATTTAGATCGATAATCGTAATTATCATCGATGGAAGAAGGTTGTGACGATTATCGATATGAATATAATGCTATCGATAATGACATGTATTTTTTCGACAAATAAAAGTTTTTACTGCAACACATTTGACTTATTTGTTTTGCTGTCCTTGTAATTATCGCTAGATATAAACAGATTCACCCTAACATACAGTTTTCTCACCTTCGCTTTATGTTTAATCGCAAATAAAAACCAAATGTTTCAAAAAGTAAAAAGTTGTGATTTGAATCGAACGACGACGCCATTACTTGTTGTTAGTGGGTAATTACAAATTTAGTCACTGGCATCTTAATCATGTTAATGCGGAGTCAGGATTTTAGAAAATATGTATATTTTCGAAATAGTATGAAGTATCATGATTGAAATAGGTTTCATAATATTTTATTTCTTATAAAGAATTCTTCCCATTCTATTTCATAAAATTTCAAATTTTATGTCTATTTGGTAACTACGTACTCCAGTCTGTTTTGTTTTTTTCAATGATCATAGTTTTCGTTTTTCCCGGTGCTCTCCACTCACAGCCCACGTGAGGTCCATATGGGGTTTGACATTTTTACGATATGGCAGCAAAATTTCATAATTTCCCCGTTATAATCGCACAATGTTTGTTTAATATCAGTCTGCAACCCAATCTGTGCCCCACCACGAAAACAATGACGTAGCACTCACCTGACCTATTACGTATCACACCTGCGAACCTAGTACAACCTACTACGTAGCACACACCTGTACACACCTGACATTCACAATGGCGGAATATTTGATGATTTTTTATCTGAATAGTTTCGTGAATACTGTACATAAATGACAAACGACTATATCAGGTGAAATTACATTTAATTTCTCAATTATTCTTACTTTATACAAATAATAATTGTCTTTGACGACATGAATCTTAAACTCAGATTATTCATCGCTAAAAATGCAATGTAACGTGCGTATTGTTGAAACACTGAGTCTCCGGAGAAGTGAATTGCCATTTTTCTGTAATGTCATTTTACCAAAATAGAATTCTTCGATATTTATCGATTATTGATCGATATGTGATCACCGATAATCGATCTGAGTAATCCATATCGATAACCAGCCCTACTTTATTGTACCCTTTTTTTATGTAAAATGTGTCAGTAACCATGGGAACATTTAATAACATATTGCACGAACAGTAGATGATAAGGTACACCACTAGGCCATATAAAATTGTTGTTTGCCAATAGGTAATGCTAATCCACTGCAGCTTTGCTCACATTTATTTTCAATAAAGATCTGAAGACATCCTCACGTCCGGGTCCCGTTAGAACGACCTTTCGTGAACTTTGACCGACCACTGAAATGACTAACAAGAAGTTGACATCGGCCAATAAGCATGATAAGAAAGCAGCTTCCTCAATTTTACGGCGGTTTTAACCTGGCAACTTCCATTTCAGACTATGCTTGAAAAATATGTTGACACAGTTCTCGATAAAATGTTAAAAACTGAACAAACAAACACTCAGGAATGTCTAATATATGATTGAGATTGTATGGCAGTGCTTCCCATGTACTGTGCCTCCCATGTACTGTGCAACGCCTCCTCCGTTCAAATGTTTATCCCACGGAAATGAGAGATAGACGATAATTTTGACGGAATCGGTGCTATGGGCCATAACTGTCGTTCGGAATACCCTGTGTTAACATTTTCAAGGTTGCATGATTAGAAAACACATTCAGACTGTCACTTTCATGATCTGGTAAGTGACGCTTTGATTGGTCAGATGAAAGGTTGTTCTGACTTAAACTGAAATGGGATGTCCATAGATCTTTGTTTAGTGAAAGCGAGAACTAAGATCTGATTTTCATGAGATTGATTTATTTTGGTCTTGGTTTCTTTTACATAAAGATCCAAGACCCCTTTGTTCCCTCTATTGTACCTATTCTTTTGTCAGTAACCATGATAACATTTGATAAAATATACCCTATTGACCAGTGTTGGGATTCCAAGGCACAGAAGGTTCCTAGAAATTCATACTTGTTGCAGTAATGCGATATGCAATGACATCCCTCGCCACAATTTATTTTGGTGAAATAAATAAGATTTTTAATTGTGCCCTTTAAGCACCTCGAGATTATTTTTTCTGTGCTATTATAGCAACTGTGCAATTGGCACACTAGTACAAAGACTTTGGATTCCTGACATGTAGTGCATATTACCAAGAAAGTAGAAAGTATGATTTGATCTGGAAGTAATAGTTCCTGTTTAGTCAAGGCATGTTTGACAGGATACGTACGTTTGTTAGTTGATTAACTCAATCTATCGGGAAGGAATAGTCCCTGCTTAAATCAAGGCATGTTTATAAGCTGATTAAGTCTATGGACGTTACAGAATATGCAATACAGTCAAGTCCTCTTAATCCGACATGGTTTGTTGCATGATTATGTCGGATTAATGAGTATGCAGGAAAAACAAAATTAAGTAGTATCAATGTTTGTGACAAAAAATCAGACAACTACATGATAGATAACAAAACAAACACATTGTAATAAAAAATGAAAAATGAAATATTGATATTGTTATGTTACATTGTTAGCGAAATATGTTTTTGAATCATGCAACCTCTAAAGCTTAACACAAAACTATGGTTACGGGCTGTATGACTAATTCAAACTCATGGGCAGATGACCACGGAGCACGCTGATCACTGTGTCAGATTAACGAGACTGATGAGTGATTTCAATAATTCGTTGCAAAATAGGTGTGTCGGAGTGCGAGACTGTTGGATTAACAGGTCTAAATAGTGCTGATTTAATTGGTTCCTATCATTAGTGTTGAATGAGCCTATTGTCAGATTAATGAGACTTGACTTTAAGTGCATGTGATGTTTGGGATGATGAAGCTGTTGAATAGAATGAAAAACTGGAGCAACTACAACTTCAGAAGCAGCCAGAAATGGTACTGGCCTTTCAAAGTACACATCATAAAAGTTTTTGTATAAAGAGACTTGACAGGAGGGGTACTGGCAGAATTGTTTAAGAAGAAATTCCAGAATACTGGATGCACTTCTTGGGTCCCCTGAGTCACCCTGTAGAGACAGTTTGATGGTTAGAGCTGGACAAGGTATCTAAGTGAATATAGCACTTTGGAATGACCAGTGTTGGGTTGTAGAACTTTATTAGTAGATACTTGTGACTATCTTGAACATATTGAATTGCAATATGCAATTGTCTCTATCATGTCTATAGCACCATACTTTTGTTATCAGTGTTCTGTGCTGACGACTTCTGGATGAATCTTTTGCACACATGTGTTATTTCTAACATCCATAGAATAAGAGAAAGGAGGGAGGCTAAATGGAAAGGAGGATAAATATATAGACTTGAACATGTTGAATTAATAGTGCACTAATGTTAAGCTACAAATTGTGTATTTTCATGGGAAGTTTCTACATACATACTGTTTGAATTTATAAATCACCATTTGGCAAGAAACACAGATGTTGCCACAAGTGTGTCAAAGGTAAAAAATAAGCACACAACAGTGATATACATTTCTAAGTTACAAGAAACTTATTCACTGCAGTAGAGCTCATGTGTATGTGATGCCAATAAATAAAAACCTGTAACGAAATACAGACATGCAAACGGAAGAGGCTACATTTGGTAATTATGCATAGGTTTTAAGTTGTTTTACTGTTGTTGTTATTCAATTTTCATGCATGTTTGTATTTAAGCAACTAAAACAAATTGGGTAATGGTGATTTATTTTGTTATTTTATTTTATGAAAATATGTAGCTTGTTTATTCATAAGAATCAACTTCAATATGTTTTTGTGTAGCATAGCGGGTTTACTCAAAGTGTACACACCGCTTTTTACATTTATACCTCAATAAACGACAAAAATATTGAAATCGGTTCTTAAATGTATATGGACTTCACCTGAAGTGAAACGATGTACATTTTGTGAGTGTGAGTTTAATAGGGCACTACGTATATAGTCAAGTGCATATTATACACAGGAAAGTACGGTATGTGTTTTGTCATCCAAATTAAACTGTCCTTAAAAAGATGACAGCACAGCAAACGGTGCAATTATCAACACATACGGAAGGTAATGACTAAACATGTTTAATGTCAAAGTGCCTGAGTACACAGTGCAGTGGCTGAACCCCTCTACAGCAGTGTGTTATGTAAGGAAGAGGATAGTGAAGGTTTGACTGGCTGGATACTGTAATGTTGAAGTGATGGAGCTGTAGTTATCTCTGTCTAACTGACAGGATGTAGCTACTCAGCCAACACCATGCATACACAGTAGAATGTTGGTGCTTAGCTGTACGTAAAGTTCTTGTTAATTACATAATTACTCATTTCCCATGTAAGTGAGTACAGTGAGTGAAAAGGTTACTTATTACTTTGATGGGATTGATGGTGGACGTATTATCAATTAGTTTGATTTAGACTTTGTCATGATTTTGATGACTTTATGTATCATCATCATCATCATCATCATCATCATCATCGTATATTATTACCAGATTTGAATAAAATCTTTATCACACTGTCCTAGAAAATGAACCAATCTGAAACCCTGCATTACTTACAATTGCTCATAATTTTTAATGTATGGGTAGTCAAGTAGTGTTGTTTAAGTGATTCAATGTTTTATGTTGTTTCAGATTCTCTTGCAACAAGCTTTGTTGTTTGAGGACAGCAACCATGGACAGCATCTTCATATTTCCCTTGAGCAGACGGCCATGATGTTTGTGTCATGGTTCAGTCTGACTGAGAAGCTGGATGCCTCTCTGGTGCGGATGAGAACTAATTCAGTGTCCCGAAGACCTAGACTATTAAACTGGAGATCTGCCATTAAAAAATGTCGACGACAGAAATTGGATAAACAATGAAAATACTGCTGGACGTTAAGTCGTCCTTTTTAGATGGAACTTGAGCTATATACCTACAGTTTTAGTTTTTATGCCTGTTTTGTCTTGTGTTTGTTGAATTTTGTTCTACGATGTGGTTTTCTCGTGAGATTCGTTGGTGTAGAACTTCCGTGAAGCAATGTTTATGCTTGAAGCGGTTCAGTCTGATGAAAGGGTTGGCTTTTGTCATATCCCTCAGTGTTCTGTCCAGTGTGTTCTTCGCCTATCATCTCATGAACTTCGGCATTGTGAAGCGGCATGCAGACCCACCTAAACCCTTGACGATGTGTCGACCTGACAGTACTCTACCAAAGAACGTACCACATGTGCCAAAAGATCATAGCTCAGAAGCTAGTCTCAGACTTGGAACTCGAGTTCTTCTTATGGTTGAGACGCAGTACTCAAAGCAAGGGATTATTATATCCCGGTTGCTTGAGGGCTTGAGAATTGAATACAAAATCGAACCAACAGGTAAAAATCTTCCAACATTGACACATGCAGACAAGGGGAAATTTGCTGTTGTGATATTTGAAAATTATGAAGCTTATGTAAATATGGACAACTGGAACAGACAGTTGTTGGATAAGTACTGTCGGGACTATAATGTGGGTATGATAGGCTTTTTCCCTTCCAAGGATGGAACAATCATTGAGGAAGTGATGGGGTTCCCTCTCAGTGTCCAAAACAATCTGGTGCTTCAAGACTATAAGCTCAACCATTACTCCGATATATGGAGGATCACGAAACCAGGGGATGTGTTTGAAGGACGTCTTCAGACGGATTACTGGACTGTTTTCCATACAAATCACACAACATATGAACCTCTCTCTTTTGCACGTGTGTCGTCAGACAATGGGGAAATTTCAAGGACAGCGAAATCTGTGGTGCCCGTTGTGTATGATGCAGGATTCCATGATGGCATTCGGAGGATTCTTTATGGGTATGGGCTGGGGTTCTGGCTGCATCATTTGATGATGATTGACAGTTTGTCTTTCATTTCCCATGGGAAACTCAGCGTGGGACTGGACAGGTTTATTCAGATTGACATTGATGACATCTTCGTTGGAAAGGAGGGCATCCGGATGAAGGTTGAAGATGTAGTGGTAAGTTCCTGATTGGTTTTCCTTTGCCTACTTATCATGCCAGCCTGTGAGCATGGTGAAGATCTCGGTTAGAATAGCAACCTATACTTGTCATAAGAGGCGACTGATGGGATCGGGTGGTCAGTCTTGCTGACTTTGTTGTTGCATATCATATCCCAAACAAACAGAATTAAAGATATCAAAACTTAGAGCATGCACAGGTGGCTCAGTTGTCGAAGGCACCGCAGTTGCATCCCTTGTGCATGCGAGAATCTGTTATTGTGGTATTCATCCCAGATTTGCTGTGATTATGTTTCTTGGTTTGTCAGCACCATGCTGATGTTGTAGGCTTCGTCAAAGTGATGAAAATTTAAGACCTGTGTCACATCGGGCTTTCCTTCCACATCAAACTGACATGCCATGATATAACTGCAATACTGTTCAATGCGGTGTTAGACCACCTCCGTGGTCGTGGTAGAGCGTCCGCCTGGAGAGCGGAAGGTCCGGGGTTCGATCCCCGACCGCATCATAGTAAAAGACGTAAAAAGTTGGTACTTGTTGTTACCCTGTCTGGCGCTCGGCATTAAGGGGCTAAAACAAGGACTGGTCGGCTCGGCGTCAGTATACTGTGTCTGCACGGGGTATTCATGTTAAACTGCATGGTATCTCAGTGGGCTAGCACTATAAATCGGCATCAGTCCGGACTAGTACAAGCAGCCACACAAACACACACACGTACATGCACGTTGCTATATAAGTGCAATAATCTTGGACACGGCGTTAAACCCCATTTCACCTCACCTCAATGTGGTGTCAGTCCTTAATATCATTTGATTTGTTAATATGTCAACAGAGCCAATTCAGGTGAGGATGACAGTCAAATCGTCAAAGATACAGTGTTAAATTAAATTAAAAGTAAATTAACTTCCATTTTTTATTACATACTGTTCATGGCAAAAATTAATAAGAGTAGTAAGGCAATGTTCTTTATCTATGCATCACTGCTTTGCAAACTTGTTGCGTGACATCATAGCACAGTATGATGTCATCAAAGTTATGTTTCTGCAGGTGAGAAATTGAGGGAAATGCTTTTGTCCATTTGCTAATATATTAACACACTAACCTATAGAAATTGTTATGTTTTCCTTTTAAAGAACATTTTATCCATATGTCTTTAACATGTTTAAGCATGTTAAGGTGGTTAGAAAAGTTAGAAAAGAAATTACAATTTGTAATGCTTCTATGCAAAACTGTTACCACAGTGAGGTCTTACCCCATACATACTATATGCCTCTGTAGTAAAGTGTGAATTTTGTGGGAGATGCAGGTTAACCTCCTTCTTTTTTTAACATGTTTAATTGGAAAGTTAATCTAGATTTTGAAAACATCTCATAGTCATAATACAGAAAGATGATTTTTCAAGGATCACATCTTGGATCTTGAGATTCTTATGTTCCTTGCCTTGGCCTTTTGTTTTTTATTAGTTGTTTTACAGACAAATTGGCCTAAAATTCAGTGTTGAAACTTGCAGACCCGTACTGCTTCTAATGGTTGATCTTGTAAAACAAATAACAACAAACTATAAAAGCCCTATAATCACGATAAAAGAGATAATATTCCATAGTATTTCTCTGGACATGCTTGAACATTGTAACTTGGTAACTGTTGTTTTTCTGTTTGGGACCTTGAACCATGACTTTTATAACCAGAGCTTTTGATTGAATAACATGGTTACCTGCTAAAACACTTTTAATCAGTTGATATTGAGGTTACCATGGAAATGTAATGAAACAACACAGAGTGAACAGATTAACTGATATCATTAAGTGCAGTTTGCTTTCATATAGAACCTAAAATAGAATAGCTTGCAGCTGCGTTTTATATTAATTAAACTTACATAATTTGTTAATTTGTCGCTTGCACAGTTATATGTGTCACCATAATTGTTATGATATGATAACAGGCACTGGCTGAGACACAGAGTCGACTGGCGAAAGAGATTGATGGCTTCCACTTTAACCTTGGTTTCTCAGGGAGGTACTACATGCATGGAACTGCAGAAGAGGATTTGGGGGATAAGAAGCTTATAGGTAAGTTAGAAAGGGTAATTCACTTGCTGTATGCCCCTGTTGGGATTCTGGATTGGAATATGTTCCCAGTAAACCTGGCCGGACCGGGTTGTCAGGCTCTATGACTTAGGTGATAGTGTGTCATCATACCACGGCAGCCTGAATTGATGCTCATGATGTCAATCACTGGATTGTCTGATCCAGACTTCAATATTTGTTTTGTTTCTTTGTTGTTTAACGCCACACTCAGCAATATTGGGACAGCAGTCTGTAAATATACAAGTCTGGACCTGACAATCCTGTGATTGCCATCATGAGCATCGATCCATGCAATTGGGGTATGATGACATGCAATCATCCAAGTCAGTGATCTTGACCACCAGATCCATTTAGTTGCTTCTTTTGACAAGCATTAATTGCTGGGGGCCCTTTTCTTACCCGGAATCCCCTTCGATACTTGATTATGACTGCCATAACCAGAGGCGTATAACTGGAATATTATGCATGTGGCAATCAACAAACAAACAAAACAATTAGTATGTGATGGTTAAAATGAAGCTCTTCACACGGCAATAAATGTAAAAACACTGCTGTGATATTAATTTGATTAAGCAATATTTTCTCCTTTGTTGTGTGTGTTGAGTGAATTTCTGAAAGATTGATGTAATCATGGCAACAGGGGCCTGGTCAGCTACAGGATGCAGCAATCTTCCTATGAGCATGATGAACTGTCTGTTTGAGAAGAAGAACAAAGTTTATCATGTTTAGGCAAGAATATGAAATATGTGTGTTTCCCGGTCCTCGACTGACCTTTTCTGTAATGAACATGTCAAAGGCAGCATACTTGATGAAAGAATAAGATGTCACGGTTATTGTTAGTTTGATGTACATGAGAAAAGGAATACCGGTAGGTTGTAACCATGGTAACATGTTGTAACGCTCCAATTCAAATATTTTTGTCACTTTAATCATGTTGATTATGAGGGATATCCTGTGATATAGATCATGTATATGGTAGTTTGGTACATCGAGTGTGTTTATATGAGGTATATTTTGGTATATGTGGTACATTAATTGTGTTGATATGAGATTTATCGTATGGTGTGTTGTTCATTGATCATGTTGATTGAGTGAGTGAGTATGGTTTTACGCAGCTTTTAGCAATATTCCAGCAATATCACGGCAGGGCACACCAGAAATTGGCTTCACACATTATACCCATGTGGGCAATTGAACCTGGGTCTTCGGCAGGATGAGCGAACGCTTTAACCGCTAGGCTACCCCACCGCCCCTCATGTTGTTGATACAAGGTATATCATATGATATATAGTACATTAATTGTGTTGATATGAGGTATAACATTTGAAAAATGGTACATTGGTTGTGTTGATATGAGGTATACATGGTATAATGTTTGGTGTATGGTACATTGGTTGTGTTGATATGAGGTATAATGTTTGGTATATATGGTACATTGGTTTTGTTGATATGAGGTATAATGTTTGGTATATATGGTACATTGGTTTTGTTGATATGAGGTATAATGTTTGGTGTATGGTACATTGGTTGTGTTGATGTGAGGTATAATGTTTGGTATATGGTAAACTGATTGAGTTGATAAAAGGTATATGTTTTGTATATGTTTTGTATATGGTACATTGGTTGCATTAATATGAGGTATAACGTTTGGTATATAGTATATATTTGGTTATACAGGGTTCAGACTGATAAGGGTTTTTTGTAGTAGACATGGTAGATGACATGTTAAATAGTTGTAATGGTTGAAGGTCTCAGTTTCGCCAACAGATAAAGTAACTTTTGAAAAGATGTAAAACATATGTTGCTTACAAATGTCAATACCTGACACAGAGTATTGAGATACAAATTGTGACACTTCATATTGCAATATATCAAGACTGAAGTATTTTTACATTTCTACTGCTTATGAATGAAATACAAACATCTTTGGAGGACATTGTGTTAAATGTTAGTAGTGTTTTGATTGTCGACTCTGGGTTTCAGGAGACAAATCAGTTTGTAATCATGGTAAAAGTAGTAGTGGTCGTTCTCCTCCAAACAGCTATAATTTAGGTTGGTTGCATGACACTGGGACAACACTTGTTCTTGTAAAACTGAGTCTGCCTTAACATGTTAAGAATAATTGTCAAGTGCCATTTTATTTTTAGGTCACCTGTCAGAATGTCAAGTTGTGGCAGTTTGTTTGTCATCTGTTGTGAACTTTTACATTTCATCTCTAAAACTATAAGTCTGAAACTGAAACTTTGCATGAATGATCCCCGCTATAGTTTAGTGGGTTTCACTAAAGTGGAAGATGTCTAAGACCTGCATCACTTCCGTCTTCCCTCCTACATTCAACTAACACGATGTGATATAACTGGAATACTGTTCAAAGCGGCATTCAACCCAACTCACTCACTGAAACTACAACTAGTACGAGGCAAATGGAGCTGAAACTTTGTATGAATGATCCCAGCTGTGGCATCTCTAACATTTGCACACAGAAATGAAATCAAATAATAATGCATAAAAGGTCTTATCAAGATTTTATTACATTGATTATCAATAATCCCTTTCTGCTTTAATTTGATATTTGCCTTCCTTTTCCTCATGAACATGAAGCTCAGCACCATTGCCAGTACAGATTCAAATGGTTTTGCAGCAATTCACGTTATGTGATAGGTTATTGCAGCGTTTAATGAATCATTTTATGGACTGAATGAGTTCAGCTGGTTTAAGGGGGTGAGGAGAAAATGAAGGATGGGCATTACGATCAGCTTTACAGCCCATCTCAAATGAAATCGGTGGTGTGCAATCTGATGCTAATCTTTATAGTTCCTATAGTATGAGGCTAAAAGGGGAAATGTTTCTCAGGTGTGTCAATTATGAACTCTGTGCGTCTGTCATTTTTAAAGCCTAGAGAAAAGTATTTTGAAATTTCCTATATCATTTAGAGCAGTTCCCCTTTCATCACCTTTGTTTTCTATATAGAATATTTTCACAAAAATGTGCCCCAGAAACATTATTTTCTCATGTAACCTATGGGATGATCTGTGGAATCATCTGTATCATGTAAAGCTACTGTTGACATTCATTCTCCTGCAAACGATGTGGAATTTCATTTCCCCATGTTCCCCCTTCTTTTTCTTTTTTAATCAGCATTTGATAATGCTAAACAATGGCTAAACAGTTTATGGGGTTAGACGAATGTTGTCTTAAGACTTGATTTCCAGACTTTCATATACGCCATAGGTTTCTTATCTGCAAACTGCGTACAATTTTAATCTAGATGATTTTGGGCGTTATCAGCATGATCAGTGTGGCAGGATAACCATGTGTCCATATTAAAACCATTACCATCATGTTAAAAGCTGGAATTCTATTTTCTAGGAAATGTGTTTCTGCATACACGGCATATGTCAGCTGTTTAAGGAGAAACATGTTTTACTCGGCATACTTGGTGTATGGTTTTCGTAAAGTCTGAGGTATCACACCGTTTCCTGTATACACCTGAAGTTAAATAGATGATGATTATGTATCCAGATGCTGGTCTGGTCTGTGTTTACTTCCTCTGTGCAGCCTGTTTTTCATTTTTGTTTATAAATCTATGATAAGCAATTACATTTACAACCTTGGTTTGTATATAATCATATCTAAACAATAATCGACCTTGGGAAATCTGGGTTAGAATAGGTCACAGCAACCTATGCTAGTCAAAGACTTCAGATGTCACTTAATGGATCAGGTTGTCATGCTCTGTGATTTGGTTGATTGCCTGTCATGAGTGTAACTGTACCCCGATGGCGTGGGATGTTGCTCTTGATATCAATCTCTGGTTTGTCAAGTCCAGACTTGATTATTTGCAGGCTGCCATGATCATGATGATAATGCTGGAATATGTATAATTATTTTTCAACCATGTAAATTATCCGTGAAACCTTATGCTAACCAATGCTAACTTGAATTTTTGTTTGAAACCAAACTTATGATTAACTTATTATGTAACCAAACTTTATTAAATCATCCATTTTCTTGTGCTACGCCAGGTACAATGGAGATTGTCAAGATTCAGGTTTCAAGTTTTCTGTGTACTTTTTTTATATTTGGATCAAGAGTATTGTTACAAAGTTATTCTGATAATGTAAATTGTATCCATGGCAACAGAGTGTCACTTCATTGAAAACTACAAAAATATACATCATGTACATATTTAACATGTTCTATGTAAGTAAGCATGGTGAGGCTAATAATAAAGTTTGTGATTTTGGCACTGCCTGCATCAGTAGACACCATCTGGATCATTAGGATAATAGCAACATTTTTTTCTATCTTAAGACAAAAAATGAAACCTTTGAGAGCAAAGTAGTACATGGTTTTCAACTAAATGGCTACGGTGCTTCCCCCTTTTAACTAAGGGTGAAATGACACATCAGTCCACCAGTGCATCGTGAGTTTTCATACAACAATATGATATACAATACATTTTGTTTCTGTATCAATTCAAGATGATACACTTGCTTAAAAAATTACTTACTACTTCTTTAATGATCCCCCAATCGTTTTTGTAAGTCAAATATTGCAAAATGTGATGTAATTAGCATTTCATGTTCAATAGAACAAATAGCCGCTACGAACATGTGTCCCCAGCTTTCTTTTCCTTTTGAAACTGCTCAGAAATATTAAAAGTCAAGACGTTTTCATGCAATTTGATGTAAATATAGGTATTGCATTTCGTATAGTGTCGTGACCTTGCTGTATCGTTTCATCCCTACTTTTAACATGTTTGACATTAGGATTTTGACAAGGACCCCTTGACTTTCATGCTTAATTATGAAATCTGCTATGCAGTAGTTGTGCCCCTTGGTGATTCTGGTTTATATACTACACAAAAATGTTAAGGATCACCCGATTCCAATCTAATTTAAATCAGATCTTAGCTCTCGCTTACGCTAAACAAAGATCCGAGAACATCACATGATGGGTCACATCAATACGACTTTTCGTGAAACTGGGCTGTATACATGGTATAAAGTATCTTCCATTTGAAATGTTTGTCTAATGTTTGTCTGCTTGCTAATTGAAGATAGAGATGAACCATATTTTGACAGAATCTATCGTTCAGCCCATAAATGTTGTTCCGAATACCCTGTCTCAACAATTTCAAGTTTGCATGTTTAGAAAACACATTCTAACTGTCACTTTCATGATCTGGTTAGCAACGACCTGATTGGATGGATGAAAGTTCGTTCTGACGTGATGGAATGTCCTCAGATCTTTGTTTAGCAGTAGCAAGAACAAAGATCTAATTTTAATGAGATTGGCCAATTCCTTCATATTACCATGGCATGAGTGATTCACTATGGTAATATGGTCCTCAACTTTTTGTTTTAAGAGTTATAGGTCTCCAGCAGCCTATGCTTGTTGTTAATCGTTAATGGGTCTGGTGGTCAGACTTTGTTGAAAAGGTGTCATCATACGCCGCCAGTGATTATCTTTGTTTATGATATCAATCACTGGTTTGTCTGGACCACACTCGATTGTATGGAAGCTGCCATCATGTAGCAGGAATTTAGCTTAGCACTTTGTTAACTACCTAAGAGACCTTAGTTGTGAATGTTGATATACACTGAGCGAAAAGTGCAAGTTATGATGCCTGCTGCAACTGTTTTTGTTGCTGCTGCAGAGTATCGAGACAAGTTCTGGTGGTTCGGACACATGTGGAGACATGAACAGGCTCACAAGTTTGACCAGGAGTTCCTGGAGCGCTCCATGTTGATGAACTTCCAGTTTGCCAAGGTGAGTCACTTTACACCCTAAACGCCTTGTGAGGCACTTTACACCTGTACACATCTTGTGAGTCACTGTACACCTGTACACCCTGTGAGTCACTTTACACCTGTACACACCTTGTGAGTCATTTTACACATACACACCTTGTGAGGCACTTTACACCCATACATACCTTGTGAGGCACTTTACACCCGTACACACCTTGTGAGGCACTTTACACCCACACATACCTTGTGAGGCACTTTACAGCTGTACACACCTTGTGAGGCACTTTACACCTGTACACACCTTGTGAGGCACTTTACACATACACACCTTGTGAGGCACTTTACACATACACACCTTGTGAGGCACTTTACACATACACACCTTGTGAGTAATTTTACACCTGTACACACCTTGTGAGGCACTTTACACATACACACCTTGTGAGTAATTTTACACCTGTACACACCTTGTGAGTCACTTTACACATACACACCTTATGAGGCGATTTACACATACACACCTTGTGAGTCAGTTTACACATACACACCTTGTGAGTCATTTTACACCTGTACACACCTTGTGAGTCACTTTACACATACACACCTTGTGGGGCACTTTACACATACACACCTTGTGAGGCACTTTACACCCATACACACCTTGTGAGGCACTTTACACATACACACCTTGTGGGGCACTTTACACATACACACCTTGTGAGGCACTTTACACCCATACACACCTTGTGAGGCACTTTACACCCATACATACCTTGTGAGGCTCTTTACACCCATGCACACCTTGTGAGGCACTTTACACATGTGCATACCTTGTGAGTCACTTTACACCCATACACACCTTGTGAGTCACTTTACACATACATACCTTATGAGGCACTTTACACCTGTACACACCTTGTGAGGCACTTTACACCTGTACACACCTTGTGAGGCACTTTACACATACACACCTTGTGAGGCACTTTACACCCATTGACACCTTATGAGTCACTTTACATCCATACACTCCTTGTGAGTCACTTTACACCCATACACACCTTGTGAGGCACTTTACACCTGTACACACCTTGTGAGGCACTTTACACATACACACCTTGTGAGGCACTTTACACATACACACCTTGTGAGGCACTTTACACATACACACCTTGTGAGTAATTTTACACCTGTACACACCTTGTGAGGCACTTTACACCTGTACACACCTTGTGAGGCACTTTACACATACACACCTTGTGAGGCACTTTACACCCATTGACACCTTCTGAGTCACTCTACATCCATACACTCCTTGTGAGTCACTTTACACCCATACACACCTTGTGAGGCACTTTACACCCATACACACCTTATGAGGCACTTTACACATACAAACCTTGTGAGGCACTTTACACCTGTACACACCTTGTGAGGCACTTTACACCTGTACACACCTTGTGAGGCTCTTTACACCCATTCACACCTTGTGAGGCACTTTACATCCATACACAACTTGTTAGTCACTTTACACCCATACACAACTTGTGAGTCACTTTACACCTGTACACACCCTGTGAGTAACTTTACACCTGTACACACCTTGTGAGTCACTTTAAACCATACACACCTTGTGAGTCACTTTACACCTGTACACACTTTGTGAGGCACTTTACACCTGTACACACCTTGTGAGGCACTTTACACCTGTACACACCTTGTGAGGCACTTTGCACATACACACCTTGTGAGTCATTTTACACCCATACACACCTTGTGAGGCACTTTACACCCATACACACCTTGTGAGTCATTTTACACCTGTACACACCTTGTGAGTCACTTTACACCCATACACACCTTGTGAGTCACTTTACACCTGTACACACTTTGTGAGGCACTTTACACCTGTACACACCTTGTGAGGCAATTTACACCCACACAGATGTTAAAAGATGGTACTTGTTACCCTGCCTGGTGCTGAGTGTTATATCCATGTTAAACTGCGGCGTAGTATCTCAGTGGCTAGCATAATGAAACCAGCATCAGTTCAGGCTAGCACGAGCATACACTCACCTCATGTTAATTATATTACATGTATTTGTGATTTCCATTAATAATGTGAGGAAAGATCTAGTATTAAGGATTCACCAAGCAAGGGAATAAAGTTGCTTAAAGTTCCTGAAAACATACACATGATAGGCACTACCCTTTTTTGTATTTGACTTGTAAACTTCATGTTCTGTTAGCATGGTTAGTTTTAAGAATAAGTTGTGCCAAAAGACTGCATTGTTTGCAAGAATTGTGTTTTCCTTTAAGTCATATTTAAACCTGTGGTCTCCAGCTGCAAGCCTTGCCAAAACCTAATCTCATTAAAATCAAATCTTAGTTTTCCCTACCACTAAACAAAGATCTTTCAAGACATTCAATTACAGGTCATGTCAGAACGACCTTTCATCTTACAAATCAGATTGCTGCTTACTAGATCAGGAAAGTGACAGTAACATGTGGTATTCCAAATGACAGTTATGGGCTGTATGACTGATTCTGTAAATATCACTGTCTATCTCTCGCTTCAATGGAATAAACGTTTGTTCGGAAGTGACTTTGGATGGCCTGTGGAAATACTGCCATACTATCTTGGCCATCTATTAGACATTCCAGGATGTTCTTTTATTGAGTTTTTAAATTTTGAAGCTAAAACTTCAAGGTACGCGAAAGGTTGCTCTGAAGTAACCTGTAATGGGATGTCCTCAGGTCTTTTCATTTTTTCATAAAACTTTAGACATTGTAGACGTGCGTGTATCTAATCACTATGTGAACTGCCTTGCAGGAGAATGACATCCATGTAAAGTTCCAGTATGCTGTGGCCCCACACCACTCAGGGGTGTACCCTGTCCATGATGCACTGTACCACGCCTGGCACAATGTGTGGGACATCAAAGTCACCAGCACGGAGGAGTACCCCAGGCTTTACCCCTACTGGCGCCGGCGGGGATTCATACACAAGGGAATTATGGTAAGTAGAGAGTCCTGGACCCACTTGTACAAAGCGATCTTAGCGCTATGATGATCATAAGTCCCATATTTTAACATAGGCTTACAATAGTCATAGTGCTAAGATTGTTTTGTACTAATAGGCCCTGGTGTTACCAATATTCTGATTTACTACAATATTGATTTTAGAGGTGTGCGGTATGACTGGTATAACACGATTTGAAATTCAAATATTAGCTACTGATTCCTGTTATAGAAAACTATTTGTGTTCAGAAACCAGTTGCTGATTCTCACACTCATTAAAATAGCCATATCCCCAAAGTTTTGATGTAAATTAAAAGGGAAAAGTGTTTTGGACTCTTTACAAGCAGGTGTATAAGACATTAGCCTGACCTCCTTAATAATTCCTTCTCATTTCTAAGGTGCTTCCACGTCAGACCTGTGGCTTGTTCACACACACTATCTTCATGAGTGATTACAATGGGGGCAAGGAGGAACTGGACAAGAACATTCAAGGGGGAGAACTCTTTCAGACATTCCTATACAGTCCGGTAAGTTGAAGTTAGTACATGGCTATGATTGGTCATACCTGTGCCTTTTCTTTAGTACACAGTCTTGTTTATATCCTGAAAAGTATGAACAAGAGATTTAATCATGCATTATGAGAATATTGATATGTTTTGAAAGTAGCCTTGCTTGTGTCGACACAGGTGAGCATCTTCATGACCCACCTGTCCAACTATGGTAACGACCGCCTGGCTCTGTACACGTTCGAGAGTGTGGTCAGGTTCATCAAGTGCTGGACCAACCTCCGTCTGAGAAGTCTACCTCCATTGCAGCTTGGACTCAAGTACTTCGAGATGTTCCCAGAGGAAAGGGACCCTATCTGGCAGGTAATGTCAGGAATAAGACCTGATCTTTGTAGTTTGTGGTTGAAAGATTAAGATTTGTTGTAGGACTGCGATCTGTGGTAGGCCTGTGATCTATGGTAGGACTCAGATCTATGGTTGGATTCAGGTCCAGGGTATGACTTAGACTCCAGACCCCAGTTAGGAATCAGATCCAGGGTGGGTCACAGATCCAGGGTAGGTTTGAGATCCATGGTAGGAAACAAATCCAGGGTAGGACTCAGATCCAGAGTAGGACACAGATCTATGGTAGGACATAGAAAGGATGCAATATTAGACAAGCATTATTGTTCGGTTTTGTTTTTATTTGGATGTGGTGTATCTTTTCTTTGCTGCAGAACCCATGTGATTACAAACGTCATTTGCTGATTTGGTCCGCCAACAAGACCTGCTCCAGAATGCCAAAGTTTCTGGTTATCGGGCCACAGAAAACAGGTGGGTTATCAAATTATATACGGATTACACAAAATATTTCCATCCATGTTATTACAAATGTAATGTATATAAAAGTGCACACTATGAATATAAATAAATATCAACATATAAAATATGATGAGGAAATTGTTTGGTAATTTTTTTAAAAATAAACATTTTCCTAAAGATGTGATTTGTATGTGTTATATAATGTTATTATTTATTCAGTGATGAATGACGTCATACCCCAGTGGTCGGAGCAGTGCTGTCAGTGACTTGTTTGATAGCATGTTATCAGAGTCTGACAGATGCTCATAATATTGATCACTGGCTTGTCTGGACCAGTCTTAATTATTTACAGGCTGCTATCACATGGCTGGAATATTGCAGAGAATGGCATTAAATTTGTTAGTTGTCGCCCCACTCGTCAATATTCCAGCTATATGACGGCAGTCTGTAAATAATTGCGTCTGGACCAGACCAAGCCAGCGAGTCTGACCATCCAATTCTGTTAGTCGCCTCTTATGAAAGCATAGTCGCCTTTTCGGCAAGCATGGGTTGCTGAAGACCTATTCTAACCTGAATCTGCACTGGTCTTTTAATAAGAAATTAACCATAATAACACTCCTCCTTCACTTCCAGGGACAACAGCTCTGTACACATTTCTGGGGATGCATCCATCAATCCTCAGCAACTACAACAGCCCAGAAACCTATGAGGAAATCCAGTTCTTCAATGGCAATAACTACTACAAAGGAATCGATTGGTCAGTTTCTTAATGGCTTGTATTGGTCAGTTTCTTAGTAGCTTGAATTGGTCAGTTACTTAAGGATTGTATTGGTCAGTTTCTTAATGGCTTGTATTGGTCAGTTTCATAATACAGTAAACTATGTTTATAACGAACACACTTATAATGAACAGGCAGATATAATGAACTGGTTTTTTTATCCCTGCCATTTGCTGTATATATGCTTATAACATGACATACAAATACAAAGTTCCAAATATCAGTTCATGGTATTGTTTTGATAGGTCAATAACTACTTTTGTATGCAGACACCCAGATCAGATAGGAATACTCTCATCAAGCTGGACAGGTCACTCTTGTTGGACTTGCTGTAACAGTCACATGATTTGTTCTTATGAATTTTGGGGGGCCTGGGGGATTTATTGTCTTGTTTGTAGTTATAACAGTTTTGTACTGTGTTATGTAGTAGGTGTATATCAGCTGTGAAGTAATTAATGTTGTGCTTATTTCCATACAGGTACATGGAGTTTTTCCCAGTCCCTGTGAATTCTACCTCAATGTTTATGTTTGAGAAGAGTGCAACATACTTTGACAGAGACCTAGTTCCGATGCGGGCTCATGCTTTGTTACCTAGGGCCAAAATTATATGTATACTTCTCAGTCCCTCCAAGCGGGCCTACTCGTGGTACCAGGTATGCTATCAGTAGTTCATTGTCAATATTTTTTGGTTTTGTGTATACCACATTCCTCCATAGATCCGTGAACATCTGGGTGCCGTTGTACAAAGCGATCTTAGCACTAAGCTGATTGTAAATTTAAATTTAACATAGACTTATGACAGTCCTTGTGCTAGGTTTGTTGTATACAACGGCACCCGGGGGTAGAATAGCTCTTTAACAGCCCATGCTTGACGTAAAAGGCGACTATGCTTGTCAAAAGAGGTAACTAACGGGATTGGGTAGTCAGGCTTGCTGACTGGGTTGATGCATGTCATTATATCCCAGTCGGTAGATCGATGTTCATGATGTCAATCACTGGATAGTCTTGTCCAGACTCAATTATTTACAGACCGCTGTCATATGGCTGGAATATTGCTGAGGGTGGCATTAAACAACAAACAAACAAATAAAACTTTCCTCCATCAACCTGCTTGGATGCATGGGTGGCCCTGTCATCTATTGCGTCCCTTGGGCATGCCAGAATCCTATGTTGTCAGTTCTCACTTGGCTATCTGCTCTACAAAATTGCATCAATGGAAAGCACTGATGTAGTTTGCTCAAAGTTCATGCACACAGAAGGGTTTTGACCTTCCATGGGTCATAAACAGCCTGCATTCATTAGTGTACATGTAGTAAAAACAGACTCATAATCACTGCTGCATCCCATAGTGGCTGCATGTATTAATGTTGATGGAAGGCATCACTTAACAATGTGTTACTTTGTGTCACCCTAGAAACCTACATTTCTGTGTAGCGTTCTTTTCTCTTTATAGCTATATTATGCAGAGTTACATCCTTTGCAGCCAATCATGATTGTCAATTTTAGCTCACATGACTGAAAGTCAAGTGAGCTTGTGTCGTGATGCTTTGTCAGTCGTTAACTTTTGCATTTCTGACATCACCTCTGAAACTACAAAGCCTATGGAGCTGAAATGTTGTGTGAATGATCCCAGCTATGGTGTCTCTCACAAGTGCTCACAGAATTCTGATTCTGTTTTAACACATGTTTGCACATCTGCGCATATTGAACTTGTGCTTTTTGGTTCATTTCTGCTATTTCTGCAGGTGTTTTGAAATTTGATATGCAACATGTATGTGTGTTTTTTTAGTAATATATACCATACTTTTTGGCAAATTTTGTTTTTGAATCCAATATAACTATCAACATTCCCATCCCCCAATTTTCCAGTGGTACTACAATTTCAACCTCACCCTTGAAACTACAAGTCATATGAGGGATTTTACGTACAGTGTCTTTAGAAACCCATTAAATGATTAATGGCTAGTAATTGGCCATGTTTTTCAAAATGTATTGACATGAAGTTGGTGGTCGGACCTCACATAAGTGTTCCATTGTTTGTGACATTGTGAATTTTGACCTTGATTTAACCTTAACAGCATAATACTTGATGTCACAAAAGTTAAAACACTGTCATAGGCAATACGAATGAATCAAAATAGGTGCAAAATTGGAAAACCAGATCTTAGTCTCCACCACACACTAGTCTACTTCCATTTTTCTTTAAATTATCTGTTTACAGTGGGAATCAATTGCAAAAAGTAGGTCTTTGCATATAATTGCCATGGAAACCAAACTTGACCTTGAAAAGAAATGGTCAGAGCAACATATGAGAGGCTGTCGGTAGGATGATCCCAGCAAAGTTTCATTATCCTTTTGATACTGCAGAAAATCGCGAAAGAAGTTCAGACAGGTCTTAACTGTCCACATATGGTAGACTAGCTTTTTGTACAATTTGACTTGTGTGTCAGTTACTACTTGGCTAGTCAAAGCAAAAAACAGCTATTGCTTCGGCTGTTGATTTTCAATGATTTCAGTTCCCTTCTCATGAACATGATGAAGACATCTTATCTAAAATGCTCTTTTTTCAAAATTATTTATAAATCAAATCTTATTCTTTAGAACCCCGGGACCCAGGGCTTTAACTTTGTGTCAGTGACTATGAAAAGTTCCAAGCATCTCTATTAGCACTCAACATTGTGTCACAAACACTGTTGCATACTTTGTCTGTTTCACAGAATCTTTTGCACCAATTTTTCAGTAATTCATCGTAGATGTTTGTACAAATATGGTTGAAGTGTCATAAATTATTTCTCCATAAGTCTGGTGAGCTACAGAAAATGACCTATTTGAGACCAAAATATTCCTAATTGCCTCCAACTGGCATTGGTATATAGCCGCCACCCTTGATCAACGTGTGAGACACATTAATTTTGCATTCTGTAAAGGTTTTTTTCCCAGCTGCATATCATTTACACGTAACTCTCAATGTCTTTTCTGTAGCACATGCGGGCACATGAAGATCCAACAGCACTTAACTACTCGTTCCATGAGATAATCACTGCAACAGAAATGGCGCCGCGGCGAGTCCGAGAATTACGCAGCCGTTGTCTCAACCCCGGGACCTATGCACAGCACCTGATGCGATGGCTGGACTACTTCTCCCCCAGACAGGTAGCAGAGTTTACTGAGACCCACCTCAGCCTTTCATTAGTCCCTGTAGAGAACACTATGCAATGACATCTGGAGATAGTAGTTGTTTTAGATTATAATTATCCTCAGTCATTAGAGAACGATCCTTGCTTATCTGTTGTAATATTTTTGCATTCTGTTATATCTCCATACAGTCCAGTTTAAGTGATGTGATGCTAAGATTTCTTGATTGAAACCATCCGCAATATACCAATATATGGCATCATTTACCTGATATCACCAGTACGTGTCTCTCCTTGCGTTCTGGCTCACATGAAGATCTGTAGACATCTCCAAAGTAGTTTAATGAGATTGCATAATGATTTCGCCCTCTCTGTTGCAACACTCCTGAAAACATATTCAGTGTTCCTACTGCGCAATTCAATATAGGGCTGTCTCGGTAATAGCAATGTCTCCCAAAAATAACATACATCTTTAAAATACCAGTCAACAAATCTGAACTGAAGTACGCAAATGAATCCTATTATTACACTATCTGGTTTTGAAAACACATTCATTGTATATCTGGGCTAGGTTTATAATATATTTTATTTTTATTTTTCAAAATTTTGTTCATTATTGTTTACAAGTTCCAAGAAATTGTGTGAACTGACTATCAGATTGACCCAACTCACTGTTATTTACAGCAACCACGATCAGATTACCGCTATTGATGCCTTGAAATGGGTATATATACTCATTAAAAGTAATTTTTGTGGCAGTTTGAGTATTGTATGTCAACATAATGTTTTTGCAATCCAAGTACATGTACACCTACGGCTTAGTTTTTTCGAGAAAATACATACAGTAATCTTACTTTCTGCATATAAAAGAGTATCTTAGAAAGCAGGAAATACAATTTAAATGGTAAATCATCACGTCTAGTGATGTTTTATGTCAATTTTCAAATTTATATTGACCAAGTTTGTTACATATCTGTTTGTTCATTTGAATTCACTAAACATGCTAAAGGGATATGTTGTATTTTGTTACTGCGCATAACACATGATCAATCATTTTTGTTCCCCTTGTTTACACTACGAATCATAAAAAACAACTATTTTTAATGTTATATTCAAACTCTGATATGCAATATGCGGTGTAGATCATGTTAGGTAGGCCGAGCATGTACTGTTGTGTTGGTCACAGGGGTCCGGAAAATTTAAAATCCCAATCGGACATTTGCATTTAGGCCACGCCCCCTTCAAATGGCGTATTTTAGTACGACATTTTACACACACATTACAAGTTGTTACGTATTCATAATATGATGAATTATGAATTGTTTCAATTTAAGTGTTTAATTCACCGGACAATTAATAACAAATAATATCATTTTAGATATATATGGAAAACATACGTTTGTTTCTGTTATAATAACGATCTGTTAACGTAGTGAACGGTCTAATTAATATTCATGAGTCTGCTCAAGTGTACGCGTTGTAACATTTGGATCGAGACTATTATCCCATATTTGGTTATCACGTGACCTCACGGGAAAAGGTTTTTTTTAAACTAAAGATTATTTAAAAACAAGACAGATAATATAATCATAAATCCTAAAATATCGTTGATAGCAATAGTTATTTGAATATTTTTTTCATCTGTACTTAATTATTGACCATTAAAAATTTTGATATCGATCGTCACAGAAAGCAAAATGGCGGTCAATCAAGATTCAATATACAACTAGCTACTGAAAACAATAAAATCTGCAAATCCTCATTGTATGTCAACTAAGTGAAAGTCGTTAGCCACGACTTACAAAATGATTATTCAGACTTTGAGGGTTTGGCAGATCCGCTCGACTGATCTGCATCGGTCAACTGGCTGTCGTCACGCTTTCGCTTCTTGTCTGAGGTTACGTATCGTAGCATTGTGAGGATAATGAGGTACATCGATGATGCAAGGTATTTATGTACAGTTGTAAACACATTTTACTCAAATTAACAAGATGTTCTCAGTAATTAATCCTCGATTAATCAGTGTCAACTCAGTTTATTGCCTATTACAGTGATTGACAGATTGGACTATCATTGTAGGTACGATGTATTTATAGCAATCAAAACAAACAAAGCTTGTCAGTGTAGATAATCTTCATTGTGTTACAACTGTAGACAGAAACTGCTCAGTCCTAACTGTTGATCATGTCCGGTCAAAATTTAAGAATGTCCGGACAATACTTTTTAAAATGTCCGGACAGAAAAATTTAAATGTCCGGTATGCAATATTTTAAACCGGACATTTGAGATTCCCAATCGGACATGTCCGGCGCATATGACAGTTTCCGGACCCCTGGTTGGTCATCTACCCCCTACGAATCCACCTCAGTTATTCCGCTGATCATCTATGACACTCATCAACTTTTGGACCTCTAAGTTAGCGTTGTCGTAAGGGATCACTGTATTTCAACTAAAAGTGCAATTCAAACATTCTTCCTTTTTTAATTAAATATATTGAGGGGTCACTTGTCCCAACTGCGATTTTGGATGTAGCATTTTGATTGGTTGTTGGTTTCGAGCACATGGGCAGGAGAAATTTTGAGGTAAGTTACTGATAACAGAGATGGAGATAGTGACGTCACTTCCGAAGCAAAGATATGGTGGTGAATGGAGATACGATTTTCTGGATAATCGAGGATTTTTGTAAACATTTTCTGACTCTATAGATTTTGTAAGTTATGTTAGAAGAAATGCATTTTACAATCAAAATACATACCATCCAGGATCACCAAATTACACTTTGTGAGTATAGATGAAACATTTATTATTCCAGGCTACAATTATAAGGAGTGACAGTGTAAGAAACCCTTGGGACAATCTTTCTACATGTTTCACATATGCTGATGTTGTTCTCTGGCTTTACAATAGTTCTTGCTGTTTCAATGTGGGATAATTCTTTCGAGGTGTTGGTGTTCACTGTCTAAAATGTATGAAACATATGGATCAATGTCCACACATTGCTGACCCGTGAAGATTCTGGGTAGAATAGGTCTTCAGCAACCCATGCTTGCCATAAAAGGTGACTCTGCTTGTCGTAAAAGGTGACTACCGGGATCGGGTGGTCAGGCTCACCGACTTGGTTGATGCATGTCATCGATCCCAGTAGCGTGGATCGATGCTCATGATGTCAATCACTGGATTGTCTGGTCCAGACTTGATTATTTACAGACCGCCGTCATATAGCTGGAATATTGCTGAGTGCAAACAAACCAACAAACCAACCAACCAACCACACATTACTTGCTGAGACGATTCTGTACTCTTCTCTGACCAAGTAGAAGATTTGCAGTACTCCTGGGGGCAGAGGTGGCCCTGATGTCTTTGGCACCACAGTTTGCTGTGCATAGTTGCATGCAGTAGACACGCCAGAAACCTGTGATAGTGGGTTTGAATCCCCCTTCACGCTAATTATGTTTCTAGTTTTGTCAGGGGCGGTCGGGTAGCCTAGTGGTTAAAGCGTTCGATTCCCGACATGGGTACAATGTGTGAAGCCCATTTCTGGTGTCCCCCGCCGTGATATTGCTGGAATATTGCTAAAAGCGGCATAAAACCAAACTCACTCACTCACACTCTAGTTTTGTCAGTACCAGACTCATACATGTGTTGCTCAAATTATCAACAGACCTACAAATGATTAGTTTACTTTCAGATATAACTTAGATACTGAGTGAAAATAATTTAAGTTAATTTAATCAAGGAGGTGAGGTGATGTGAAATTGGGTTTAACGTCGCGTCCAAGATTATTGCACTTATATAGCGACGTGCATGTACGTGTGTGTGTTTGTGTGGCTGCTTGTACTAGTCCGGACTGATGCCGATTTATAGTGCTAGCTCACTGAGATACCATGCCGCAGTTTTAACATGAATACCCCACTCAGACACAGTATACTGACTCCGAGCCGACCAGTCCTTGTTTTAGCCCTTTAATGCCGAGCGCCAGACAGGGTAAAAACAAGTACCATCTTTTAACGTCTTTGGTATGACGCGGCCGGGGATCGAACCCTGGACCTTCCGCTCTCCGGGCGGACACTCTACCACAAGACCACGGAGGCAGTCATTTAATCAAGGAGTGTTGTGTTGTGTTGTGTTGTGCCTTGAAAGACAGTACACCCACTGTCAAAGATTTGCTCTTGTCTCACAAATGAATAATTACTGCATTCCAAAAAGTTGTTGGGTAAATGATCACTGACATGAGAGAACAAACAATGTGTTGCTGTTGGCATGGTTGGAAGGAAGGAAGGAGAAGTCTTCACTGTTGGAAGGGAAAATGTTAAATTGTTGCAAATAAGTTTGCTGGCAATGGATTGCAGCTATGTTAGATATATGGGACAATAAAATAGCCCTAAAATATAATTCTTGTGAATACCCAACCTCTTTTACATTATAGCCATAAATTCCTGTTTATGCTGATAACCACACTACAAATTTTTAATTAATTTTCAACCGACATCCTTTTCACTGCCAACATATATAATAGTTGTGAGGGAAATCCTGAAGTCTCAGACTTTGTTGAAGAAGGCTACATGTTTATTTGCCTTGGTAGACTTGGTGAGTTGCCAGATCGAAGCAAGATATTCTGGGCAAGTTGAACATCCTAGCAGATTACCTGTCCTGGAAGAACAAGATCGCACCCACGGAATGGTCACTACATCCCAAAATACTCAAGTGGATCTCAAAAACCAACTACCAGTCTACATCAGCCCTGTACCAGACCCTCTAGCACTCCAGGCTGACGCCCTATCTATACTTCTGAAACTTCTAATCTAGGATGTACAATGTACTACCACCAGAAGTGAGCCATGGGAGACTTCAAATCCGGACTATATGTCAATATATGTTAAATGGCATAACAGAAATTATGTCATAAAAGTTACCAATATCCTAGAAGTGGCGATACTCCCGGGAGTGACGTCATAGATGACATCTACATCAGAAATGATGTCAGTTTAATGAGGTCATAAGGAATGACAACTGAAAGTGACGTCACAGGTGATGTCATCACTGGAAGTGACATCATAATGTGTCTAAGTATCACATTGATGGCTAAATATATGTATAATATAATAGTAATATGACGTCATTTATGTCTAACCTAGAATTGTTGGAAGGTTATTAGACATAATCATTCCGTTTTGGTCCCTTTTGTATACATTTATATGTATTCCTACTTCACAGAAGCCAACTCTCTAAGGGATACTAGATACCAGATCCCACCGGTAACTCTGCTGTATACTGGCTATGATGTAATAGAGGTAGGGTATTCGCAAGAATTATCTAACAATACTTGTCATTGTGTATAATTCTAAGAATACTACCTCTATTACATCAGGAATTAATCCCTCCCACCTTCCCCAAATATCTGCCTTTAGTTGATCAATGATGAAGGTTATGGGTTGAAAGAAGTGAGGTGTTCCTGAGTTTCGCATGTAGAGTTGCGTCTCTTGCGAGAGATAGGGTTTCCCTCAAAACTATTAGATATGTTGGCAGTGAAGAGGACGTCTGTTAAAAATTAATTTAAAATTTGTAGTGTGGTTTGAGAAAATTCCAATTTTTAATGTAATCAAAATCCTGACAATGTTTTATTTTGTGATTATGAATTTGGCTATATTTTTCTTGAATCTGATATGCCAAATGTGATGCATGATGTTTAGACTGTGGTACCATAGAGTTACAATATAGTTCCTTTTCAATACCTACCAGTGTTTCAACCAGGACTCTAAAAACATGTGGGAATTACCATGTATTTTTTAAAATGTATGGGCACCAGTTATTTGGCACCCCAAAACATAATTTGAGTTCTAACTTATACAAGTCTGTTTTGATACTATAATTGTTGAGATTGATTTTATTGTCTGGTTGCGGGGCACAGGCGACAACAGTTGTCTCAGGCATGGCTGTTTGCTGTGCAGAGTTACGTACCTTAGGCATGTCAGAAACTTGTGATTGTGGGTTTGAATCAGAAATATGTATTTGTATACTTAAATTGCATATATTCCTACATCTGATCTTTCATTCTGATACGAGATTGCATGAAAATGTGAAGACACCTCCATTGGAGGTTGTGTCTGGTGAACTCTTTTTACAGCCAATCAGAGTCAAGGCTTCTAAATTCTTGATTCAAGTGAGCAAAACATTCCGATAAGCATATTTGATCTCTGTATATACCTGCACCATTATATTGTTGTGGATATTTTATACATTCTGTTTTTTTATGAGCAGTTCTGTCTACAGCCAACAGGGTGTACTATTGAGGGTATATTTGTGTTCTGTGGCAGTTTTCTTTTCCTGAGATTAAAATTTCAAAATCGACATGGTAAAGAAATGAAGCCAAATTGTTTTAGAAAGCTGACATCTGATTGGCTCAAGATCCCATTCATCCTGACTCACATCCAGTCTCTGAAATGAACATTTTTTACAGTAACAACTGTTGTTAAATTATGGTTATGAAATATAATAAAAAGGAGCCCAGAGACTATCTTCATTTTCAGATACTGCAGTAATCTAGACTTGCCAAATAGTATAGACTTGCATGGGCTATATTAGATATATTTGTTTAAGGGTCTGTATGGCAGACTAGCATTCATCCTTCCTTTAGATTTGGGCAGTCTAAGTTAGCTCATGTTTCACCTGACGTGACCTTCTATTGAGTTGTCATCACATTGACATTGATCGATAGGTATCGTATCAGAGTAAAAGATCTGAGTACCGGTATATTGAGATTGGACAATGATTTCCCCCTCTCTGTCTCAACACTCCTGAAATCAGATATTTCAGCTTAAAGTGCATTTGAGTCTTCTTTTATGCATTTGCATATTGACCTCTGCCCCTTTGATCATAAGGATGTCGGCTGGAATAATACTCCACTGCGGAACACAAACTGTTGTGCATTGAGTGATCCGTACAGCCCTTGTCATAATGATTACTGTTGTAATATGTGTGTGTGTGTATATGCATGTATACTACTCAAATTTTGGTAGGGATAATCAGACATGTTATTCTGTTTAAATATAAACTTGACATATTATGAGAATATTTTTTGGTGCATCATGGAAGGGTAAAATGTCCCCATCAAATCTGGAACAGTACATATTGAGGGGAAACTTCTGCAAAGCTGACATTTTGAATGTAGATTTATCCTGAACTGATGTTCAGGCATTTTGATTGGTTGTTGGCTTTAAGCACATTTGCTGGGGAAATTCCGAGGTAAGTTATTGATAAGAGACATTGAGATAGTGATGTCACTTTCATAGTGAAGCTATAATGGTCAATGAAGATATTATGTGGATAATCCATGTTGTTAGTGAACATTTTCCTTCTCTAATGATTTTGATAGTTATGGAAATAGAAAAGAAGGAATTTTTCATTCCAAGTTGACTCCATCAAAGATAACCAAATTACTGGTTGTGAGTATAGATGAAACATTTATTGTTCCAGAATGCAACAGTATCGACTGAAAATGTAAGAAACCTTTGGGACAATCTGTCTACATGGTTCACATATGCTGATGTTGTTCTCTGGCTTTACAATAGTTCTTGCTCTTTCAATGTGGGATAATTCTACAAGGTGTTGGTGTTCACTGTCTAAATGTATGTAACATATGGTTAAATGTCCACTCATTGCTTGCTGGGACTATTCTGTATTCTGCTCAGGCCAGCTGAAAGGTTTGCAATACCACTCGGGGCACTGCACTTTGCTGTGCAGAGTTGCATTCCTTAGGCATGCCAGAAACCTAGGATTGTGGAACTGCATAACTTGGGGCTTTCCTACCACATCAAGCTGACACCTAGGGTTTTACTGAAATACTGTTCCAGAGCAGGATTACACCAGACTCACTCATTCATTTCTGTAGCTACTTTCCCTTCAAATTTACATTTACAAACAAAATGCATGGATTCTGATAAGGCATGGTATGGAAGGTGAAGGCTTATACCATGCATACCATGATTCTCCAAATGATATAATTATGTTCTCATGCTAATGACAAATGTGACTGACGTCATGGATTTGATTATCAATAGCATTAAAGATGTGATTATCATTAACATCATGGACGTGATTACCATCATCACTGATGGAGCCGGAGGCTAGTAGTATTAAACCTAATGCGGGATGCATAAAACGCCATGTACCCCTTGTGATCCTGCTACAACTTATAATGTTTCAGAATGACAGGAACATGTTTGTAAAACAAATATATTAAGCAGTCAAACGTAGAGGAAAACATGCTGCTTTTTGGCAAACTTGGGTGTGTTTTTTACAGCACATATGAATTTAGTATTTTCTATACATGCTAAAAGCTTATTCATTGTAGATTAATAAAATATGTGTAACGATACATTGGAGACGTGATATGATACGTATCCTGTAGGGCAGGGACAAGTCCAAATTTACTACCCGGGTACCCACCCCTCTATTACCCGACCCTACCCATGTCCCCGCTGTAGGTCTCAAGAGATGGGTAAAAAATGTCTGATTGGAAATCGTTTGACTGTAGCCCTGGAAATATGTATTTAGATGTACACGTATAAAACAATCTGGTCATGCATACACTGAACATGCTGAAGTTGTCTGAAGTTTTACCTTTATTCAAGCATATAAAAGTCAGAAGGAATGCGTACATAGTCAGGAAGAAATGTGAACATTAGTGAATTGTTGTGTATCCATGGAGTTCTAGATATTTTTTGTCATCAAACAATATATGACGTGACTAACCACGGGTCTGGGTAGTCCTGTAGGTACCCGGGTCCTACTCAGTACACACTCCATCAAAGTACATGAGTTACCCTCCCTGCCCTAGTTTACTGATACAGTACCTTTATTTCACAAGTTGATATTCTTCCTTATTGCATGTGAATCACATTTCAGAGATTGAAGATGTGATATTGTAGGGCAGAAACTTTTTAGCCTAGCAGGCACTGTAAACATTGCTATTCACATTCAACCAGGAAATACTAGAGCATCTGCATAAGCAGGTTGTTTGAAAAGTATTGTGATACAGGGGTTGTAAATCAATGTATAGTATCATGGGCCTTGTGTCAGGGTACAATACTGTATCGTTACACCACTAATGAACAAACAATTAGAAACATGTTTAGTATCTTACAAATCTGTGCCTACTCTCGAATATGAGTGACTGGTGATAATGGGAAATATTCTTACTTTCACAATATAAACATATATATGTATAGTGAAACCCTGATATTCTGGACTCCATTAATCTACCACTAATTTTGTTTGGAACACCTGTATGTGCAAAAATATTACTTCAAAACCCCACGAGTAGATAATTACAAAATTGGTTTATCTGGACATTTCCATTTGAAACCGAGTCATCAGGATAAACAGGGTTTCGCGATATATATTTAAAAAAAATTCTTTTGGGTTTATTTTTCAAAATATTATTTTGGGATCGTGCAGTAAAGTTGTTTGATGTACTTACATGTATTATATGTGTGTTGCTCAAACAGTTTTGAGAAGGTCAAGATGACATTGGTCATTCCTACAATGACCACAACTTGAGCTGTATGATGAGGCATCTGGAATGTAAGCAGGTGATGGAGCTGCTTCGAGTCCATGGGCTTCAGTGAAGATAAATAACTGCATGCACATCAGCTTGCTCCAACATTGGAATTTGTTTATAATGTGTACAAAATGAATGTCAGGAAAATCTATAACAGAAAATAACCTGAACAATTTAGGACTTAAATAAAAGGGGAGAATGAAAAGAAACATTATTGTCACTCTTGGTGAAATGTTCATATCTTAATATTTAGTTTTTGGAACATAAGGTCATCATGAAGGGTTTTTGAAAGGCTTCCAGACCTAAAGTATCACATGACAGGAACATGTCTTAGTGAATGTTTTTATTCTGTTTTTGTAAATAGACATGTGGAATAGTGTTTCATATACCCGGTACTGTTAGTTCTTGAATAATGAATATTGGGTATGTATGAGTTTATTTTATGTTCCAGCTTTTCATCATTGATGGCGAGCAGCTGCGGAATGACCCCATCCATGTCATGCATCACATTCAGCGCTTCCTGCATATAGACACATATTTTGACTACAGTCAACATCTCAGGTATTGTACAGATATAGTTATCACGACTGGATTATTGAGTGCTTTAAGTCTATATGAAAATATTTTTATATGATAAATACCCTGGGCTACCGACCATGCCGTCAGCAAGGTCAAAATCTGATGATACACAGTCAACAAGTCACCAAGCCTTCCCACCTTATCCATTTAGTCACCCCGTATGATAAGCATAAGATGCTTGGGGACAAGCTCTAATCCTCAATTTTCACAGGGATAAATGGAAGAAACTAGTCATTATTTAAGAAATAAACAACAAATGGGAGTTGTTTGTCATGTGTGTGTGTTATCCTGCAGTGTTTTATTGTAGATGAGATGAACAACGACCACGAGTCATTTATTTCTTATTTGAGATATCAACATTATGTACAGCCTCTTTAAGGATGACGATAAATTGTACAAGCTTTAAGAATATTTATCCGTATTTAAATAATAATGACTACCTCAATAGAATCTGACCTCGGCAATGTCGGACAAGTCCATTTTATACACAGGTGGGTATTTCCCGCATATTCTCACAATCCTCACGTTGACTACCTGTACCTTTCTCCAAATACTGATTGTCATATCTCATCGCTTTGGGATGCAATCTTTCGGCCATCGCGTTTATCTGCGTTGCCCAGCTACATCTATGGGGAACAACTCAGTAGACATTCCCCTCTCAAAAATAACGTTGTCATATTATAACAGTGATCATTATGACAAGGGATGTACTGATCACTCAATGCACGACAGCTTGTGTTGTGCAGTAGAGGATTATGCCAGCCGACATTGTTAAGCTCAAAGGGGCAGGGGTCAATATGCAAATGCATGGTTATCAATATCTTGGTGGCATAATATCATATGATAATAGGTACAAAACACACCCAGTCTATAACTATGAAAGTTAATAACAAATATACTATTCAAAACAAGTTAAAGAACACCCACAATTTGAAGTCTGTGCGTTGCAGTAACCACCATCCATGACAGATTAACTATATATGAAAAAATTGGGTGCTCGTAACTTCTTTTGAGAAGTTTATTACCCATAGGCACACAGATACGAGTGAAGTTATTTCAGAAATTCGAACTGAGCATTACAATTTTTGCTTCATGCTGATTGGCTAGTTCGTTCAAATTGTTTCATTTTTTGCGAGCCCCTTAGCAAAGTGACATCATATGAACTCATTGTTTCAAATGAATGAAGTCATTTTTTGTTAATGACATTTATTAATTCATTCACGACAGATAATCCATAATTCGTTGTAGCTTGTAGTTTATTCTCTTAACATTCCGCTGGACTACATCTAAGACTCTTTCTCTTGTTTCTCACAGGTATGATCCGCGGAAAGGCTTCTTCTGTCAAGTCCTCAGCGATGAAAAGAATAAGTGTTTAGGAAAGGGGAAAGGTCGGAACTATCCCCCAATGGAGGACAAATCAGACAGGATTCTAAAGAGATATTATCGCAAGCATAATATAGCTCTGTCTAAACTGCTGCATAAACTGAACATGGTCGTTCCTGATTGGTTGGAAGAGGATCTGCGATATCCCTGAGACTTGGTCTCTTGGAAACTTTTTAACAAAATGATGGTGATGCATGATGCTTGGAGTGGTTATCTTGGTGACTGGATCAAAACCTCTCAACTTCCAATGTTGCCTGTGAAGTTTTGTATGAAAACACACAACAGGGTCTCAACATGTTGTGACATAGCCGGATGGTGACGAAAACCTTTTGTTTAGACTTGAAGTTTCAATGACTATTTCTTGTAGTTAAAAAATGAAGATAGTCAAATAATTATCCGAAAGAATAGAACAGTTCCTGAACATGTAAGTGAAGCAGCTGTACGTAAGACAGTGTTGCAAAGAAAATAAGAATAAAAAAATAAAATTGGCATTTCTCCGCCCAACTATGAAAGAAATTTTGGATGTAAATCTAATAATTAATTTATTGTGTTCGACTGTTTCTTGTAGGCTAAGGTAGGCATGTAAGCATGTATGTTATTCTGCAGTCTCTACTCTGATTGGAACGACATGATAAGGCCCTTTTGAAGTAAAAGATATGTTTAAGTAACTGAGATTTTAGTTTCACTGTACGGGAATTTATGTGGGAAGAAAATATAGCAATGAGATCTTTTAGTTTTTTAATAGATTTTAGCAGTGTTTTGGTCTTCCTTGTCAGCAGTTGGGTGTGAGGGGTGTTTTGGTCAGTTGACGATCATCGTATATATTGCCTGACTCCACAAGCAATGTCTGGGCTGAGTTAATTGGTGCACAAAAGGAATTGCAGGCTACGAATTCAGCCACAGGAAACTGTTGAAATTCCCGGAGATGTTCCAAAATTGTGTTTCTTTGTACCTTGAGCAGAGCTGATAGCTGGAGGGAAGAGGCACAGAAGAAAGAAATTGCTAGTTACTACGGGTAACTGTTCCATTGCCTGGAGATGGTCAATTACTGTGGCATCTGTTCTAAGATCTGGATCCTGCTGATTGGCCAACCATGACAAAAGACACTGGGCCTCAGGTACAGAGGTGACTATTTACTAACACTAGAGTGCCCTGATGGACAAAGGCAAGATCAGGAAAAACATGCCTGAAAAACAAAACAGACTTACAAATTGGATGTATGAAGAGCTTGCTAAGAGGATACACCTATCGGTGTACTGTATGTATGATACAGTATGTAGTGTTAGATGTCGATGATCGATGATCATGACATTAAGATGCAGTTTTAACAGCATTGAGGAAACCAAAGTGCTACCTGAACTTCTGTGAAGTTACAGTGTAGAGTGTAGTTTTATTTTGTATATAGTTTCGCCAAAGAATGACTAGGTTAATCATGTTTAGGTAATTATATCAACTCCGTGATATGATTCTACCTCTGTGTTTGAGATGGATGATTAGGCTGAAGGGGTTCGTCGTTTTTGTAGTGTACAGCAGAAATGTACCCCAGGTCTGATCCCTATACAGAAATGTACCCCAGGTTTTCGTCTCTATACAGAAATGTACCCTAGGTATCGTCTCTATACAGAAATGTACCCTAGGTATCGTCTCTGTACAGACATGTACCCTGAGTATCGTCTCTATACAGAAATGTACCCCAGGTGTCGTCTCTATACAGAAATGTACCCTGGGTATCGTCTCTGTACAGACATGTACCCTGGGTATCGTCTCTATACAGAAATTACCCTGGGTATCGTCTCTATACAGAAATGTACCCCAAGTATACCTTAGCCAGAACCAAACTACAACAATACCCTATATGGCCACTGATCCACTGGATGAATCTATTTACCTGTCAGCTACCTGTTTTGGGTTTCACTTATAATGTAAAGGCTTGCATGTTAAGGAAATAGATTGTTGGTAGAAAATGGAACTGTGGTGTCAAAATAAATGGTGTCGATCTTTTAAGAAAGTTCCAGCAGCAAAAGCGATTCTGAAAACCACAATCTGATTATCACATCAATTCTTCCAGTAGTATTGCCAGGAACTGATTTCATGCACTGTTGAAAGGACACATCCAGTGGCCCCAGTGCTATCCAGGGACAAGTTCGGACACTTTTCTGATTTTGGTCAGGGTATATACCACTCAACATTTTCTTAGAGCCAAAATAGTCATCTTCAGTCAAAGATGTGGCCCTTAGCATTGCTGAGTAGTATATTTCTGTATACATATCTGTTGTACCCTCCACGGCAACAACCCCTAGATCATTGATAACAAAGAAATATAGTGGGGACAAAGCTATAATGTAAACAGTGATTAATTAGGGATGATGACGGAACGCTGTGTATCCTGTCTTGTCACAGATCTCCATGTCTTCTATTTATTGCCTTACATAATGTCTTCGTGAATATAGGACACTGTCACTAGCTGCCATTTCTTTGTATATCTGCATAATCAAAAGCTACAGTATTATATATCTGTTCTGTCAATGTGCTCCATGGAAGCTGAAGGGTTGTGACATGACATCAGCAGATGTTATAACACCTACAGAGGTTATAACATTGACAGGCTAAAACATTTAAAGTCCCTCTCTATTCTGCATTGTTTATTCACATATGGATCAAATTCTGTTATCAAATATTTTAGTATTTGTAAGCGATATATCAAAAGTGTTTTTTATTGTTATTATTTTGATAACAGTCACAGATACCTTCATTATTATGAAAGATCATATTTGCAATGAGAAAGATGTTATTTTCTATGATAGATTATTTTGCGATATATGACTATTCAGCTTAATCTAGTTTGCAGTGATATATATTTAGGGCTCTCATTTATTTATGACATGATATCTTCACACTGCAGGCAAATAACAGTAAATAATATATTTTGTAATATTTTTCTATGTTCATCAGAACTAAGGTTAATTCTTGAATGCAGGGCCCCATTCCACAAAGTGATCGTAGCACTACAATGATTATAAGCCCATGTTAAAGTAAGTTGTAGTACTACAATTGCTTTATGGAATGGGTTCCAGATCTTTAACATTAAATATAGCTTTCAGTCTACATGTTATTATACAAAGGGACACTGACGGCCAATATGTCACAATTCACGTTTCCCTCAGCTGTGTTGAAGGCCTCCCTTCTAGAATTAATGTACCAGTGTTTGCACATCATGCTTCTGATAGAGAATAATTCCGCACAAGTATCTCTTTACACCTACATATTAAGGGGCTTCACTTCACAGTTTGAAAGGCCAGACCAAATTTAAATTCATTTTTTTACATCTCATTATTTTGTTGATATATACCATATTGTAAGGTAAGTATCATGATATGTGAATATATTTAAAGTAGGTGTGTCATGACACCCCTAAAATATATGACAAGACTTAGGAACAAAGTGAATAATTGTTTGTTAGGGTTGAATAGTTTAAAAATATGGATATGAATATTAATTTAAGTCATTTAGTTTCAATCTGACACCATTTTACTGGGTCTTATTGTGTTCAAAATGGAGGTTAAATTCCTCTGAAAAATGAAAAAAACAATTTGATCTGGCCTAATAATGATTGGTTAACTAATTAAAAGTGTAAGTGTGTAGAGTGTAATACGTGTATAACCTATCTTGAATCAAGATATGTTACAGAGACCAATGCTAATGCTATAATAATAAGTTCTTTACAGATATGTTTGTTGCACCTAACATGCTGTAGTATCTTTTTTATATTGTAGACAAACTCTCCATCAGCCTTGTTCGTCAAGAGAATATTTTTGTGTCCAGATTACCCCAAACTTACTGTCAATCCTGAATACACACCTGCCAGTGATGATGGTACATTTTTATTATCATTTCATGTACCTAATTACCATGCATGCATTATCCTAATCTTCATCAGCATTGTTTGAGAGAATGTATCTCAAGGGTTTGGGTGCAGCCATGGAAGCTAATTGTTCTTTGCATCATCGACATCGAGGAAGTGTGTTGCATATAATGTCGTTTCTACTGGCCAGTCTTCTGCTTCCTTCTGAAACATTACACTGCAGATTCCACATTTGGGGCAGATATGGGCACATACTCAGATCTGTGTCAGATTATCATATAATATTAATAACTGGCAATTTCTATAGCGCTAAACGTTGTATAGCTTCATATATAGCAGCAGACTTTTGAGGATCAATGTTGTGATTTCTCTGGATTATTTGAATCATATCCCCTTTGGAACAGCATCTTCGGTGCAGGGATTGCATATTGGTACTTTTCTTTAAAAATGTTCCCTGAAGTTGTATCGTTGAAATAGAGTTGATAAAATCCTGAATATTTTCACACTTCCCCATTTCAGGATTTAGAGCCTTTACTGGATGAACTTGTTGGATTTTTGAAAAATTATTCGAAAATGATTCTGCTTTAGAGTCTTTCAAATCTGGTTTCTTTCTCTGCCCGCATAAATCCGCCATAAGAAAACCTTCTTCATGTTCTATGGTGTCCGGCTCTATCGTTTTCAACTGATCGGTGTCTATCGATAATAGACGTTGAACTTACATGGCGTCATCACAGGCATGTAACACTTCATATAACATTTGAACTGATTGTCCATTCACGTATAAGACATCATTGCAAACATGACGTCATATAACAATGAAAATCTGCCACAGATCTGAGAATATGCCACAGATTAGAGTCTGCCATGGATCTGAGTCCTCCATATATGTGACTGTGTCTTTGGTGGCAAGGTGTTTGTTTTCTAAGACTTAGGCTAGCTCTGCCATCTATTAATTCCACAATAAATCAAAATGTGCAGAAGTATGTTTCTTGAAGCCTAGTCTGATATTTAGTTTCAAATCTACCAGAGACTTACCAGCATAAAGTAATAAGAGGAAAGAGGCCTTATCAAAATGGAATTGTGTCTAGCTGATCTTATGATCCATTAAAACAACATTTAGGCCTGTAATGATGCTCTGTGTCCTGATACGTGTGTTTTGTACAGTCATGATGCGATATACCCTGGTATGACATGTTGCATAAAAATCCAGACACTTGTCATATTTGGGATTAAAATCAAAATTTCTAAATTGACAGAAAACCTGACCAAAACATATAAAGTACCGTTAAACTTGGGTCCATGAAATCAACAATGGTTTGAGAACTACAGTGAATGTCGGCAGATTTCTTTTTTTACAACCACCTCCTCAGATATGTGTAAGTGGCATCTCAGAAGCTGTTGTATCAAGGAAGAGTGTACTTATAGACTTCGACTTCATTCTTTCAATGTGACATTTTGGTACAGATGCTGGTACTTTTATCAAGCTATCATTATTTATTATTTAAAATGACTTACAAGATAAAATTATGTAACATTTATTAATGTAATGCTTTAAAGGTAGTCATCAAGTGCTCAGTCAAGTTGTGACTTACACCAGAACAAGGCTTAAATTATCATGGAATTTTTATCATCACTTGTTTTTTCTGTAAATATGGCCTAACAGGTTGTTATAGCACTGATGTCATGTGCAAAATTTGTTGTGACAAATTTAGTTCACAAGTTACCTAAAGTCTTCCATCCTTTGGGTACTGGTATTGCTTGATAGCTTTCTTTCATGTGATTTTTCTCAGGGGAGGGTGTAAAATGCAAAGCATAGCCTGAACTGTACAGACATGATACATTTTTTATTGAGCATCTGACAGCAGAAGCTGTGCCATGCATTGAACATCCTCCACTAAAACAAATCACATTAAATCAAAACATTTATATGACTGTTTGTTAAACAACAGTAAGTCAGATCATCAAGAAAGAATATTACGTTGGTAGAAATAAATGAATAAATTTTGCTTTGGTTTCATTAAATGATAGTTTGTTGTTGAGTTGCAATTACACAGTTGGGGTTTAGACTCTTGGTGAAACAGTGCAGTAACAGATGGTACTCAACATCATGGTAAGATGACACTATGAAACATTCAAAATGCTATGATTATTTTACAAACATGAATGGAAGCTGTTTTTAGTGCTTTTCACACCTATAATATCTGTTATGGATGTAGGAATAAAATATTCACATATTCTGAACATTATTAACATAGGATTTCTCTTTGTAGTAAAAACTGAGCACATCATTTCATAAAAGTATCCCAAAAAGAATCCATGATCCATATCTTGTTTTGTTCAGTATATATATATATATACCGTATTCGACGTAATAAGCGCCCAGGGCGCTCTCAAAATTAGAAATAGGGGGGCTCTTATTAAAATATTATTTTGGTGAAAAAATCACAGAGTTGAAAGATAAATTTCGTGTTCATGTACGATAGATATATTTTTCCAGAATTTAATAAATTAGCCCTTAATTAAGGTTGCATATAACACACGAGTTCATATCATACGCGAATAAATAAGTCTTGTGAACATTGATCAATCGGAAGGGGTGCTAATAGGGATTGTTCACTAGCCAATATATTCGCAAATATCGCCGTGGGTGCTTATTAGAGCGGGGCGCTTATTACGTCAAATACGGTATTGCCTTTTTAAGAAAGTGTACCAGTATCTTCCCTTCAGTCAGATGTGCCAATTGTCAGACAGGTTAAACAACAAAAGGTGTCTTGGATTGCACAGATAATTTCCCAATTGTTATCCAAACAAGGTAAAATTGATTGTTAGAAAGCATGTTGAAAATTGCAAAATATGAAATATTCTAAAGGCTTGTCTCTAGGTCAGGTGACATGTACAACTTGTACTGTTTTATTTGTGTGTATATTTATCAATAATGGAACGGTATCCTGTTACCATGGTTACTTAGAATCCTCTATCCCTGAATGGGGACTTTGTGTCACATGGTGCTATATTACATGTGTTGTAATGTTATTTCACCTTGGTAACTATTTACATGCAAGGTGCAAAGGAAGGTGTCTCATTGCTACATATTTATGGTACTAATATGGTATGGAATTATTACATTTATACAGAGTTGGGGGCTGGTAAAAAACGTTGGTGGAGGCAGTGGGAAGAAAATGTTTTTAGGCTTCGATATATTCAGAGAATTTTCTCTTTTATCATGTTCATGGCTATGGAATTCATTTGATGTCTCTGTAAATGTCGGGTACTTTAAATTTCTTTTGAAGAGCTTTGTATAATCTTCAGTGAAAGTATCATTTTTACATACATAATTTATATAATATTTTAGATCTTGTGAAAGTGGATTTTAATATGCAGGGGCCAATTATGAAGTTACTCTTTTCTAATGAAATTCTTTCTTGCACTTTGTAAGGTGAAGTCATAGGAAAATTGAATTAACTAATATGTTGACGGTAAGAATCTTGAGTGACTAGAGGGTTTTTTAAGCTTTTATCTGGGACAGGTTTTCTGAACTTATGATGAACATGGAATATACTTGTAGGGGAATCTGGTCAAATCCTACAGTAGCAATGATTTCTCACTTTGATGTTGCTGAGATGTATGCATGTAGTGTGACAAGGTTGTGTCATTTGCGGGAGTTTAATTCTGCGGAACTTTGTTCACAAAAATGTCATTAATCAGCGATATGTTGCCAGGTAGAATAATACTGCATTTAATAAAAAAACAATATGACATATGTCTTTGACTTTTGTTGTTGAGTATTGTGTGACCCTATTATTACAAAGAATAATAATGTAGCTTTCACATGCATGGTTTGATTAATATTAGAATCTTTGACTTCGATTTGATACCTCTCTCCATTAAGACCTAAGGTCAGGTGAACTTTCTAATCAGCCAATGAATGTGGCTGTGGATCATTGGTACCAGCGAGTGAAGCATCCGATTTTTGTATTTAGATAACGAAGTTAAAAGGCCAGTGGGATTTTCTAAATGGAGAATAATAATGCCTGAGGTATGTTTTGTATAGTTTACAAGATCATTACAGTAACAGTTTTCAATTAACATTCCAGTTCTTTTATCTGTGATTCAAATTCTCATTAAAATATATTGGCAAAAAAAGTCTGTAAAGTGCTGAATAGCCTTCCAAAATCTTATATCTGATTGTTTACAAAACTCAATCATCCTTTACTTTGATTTGGTGGTCAAACTTCCCGCAAGAACGCCGGAATGGACCTCACACATTGTAGGAATAGAACCTGGGACTTTCATGTGATGAGCAAACGATTTAACATCTTGACTATCCCAAAGTTCTTTGTGGAGAAGAGAAACAGAAAGCAAGGAAGTAACAACATGAGACATCGTCAGTGTTATCTCTTTAATCGAGAGAAAGTGACGATTGTATGATACACATGTGCTGACATGAGTTCATGACAGAACTCACTCAAGGTTCTCTTTACCAAATACAAAATAGTTTCTCCACTCTTCATTCACTCAAGATATCGTAATCACTTCAGATTCCCTGGCATCCCAGTAGTCTAGTCTTAAACAACTGCATGTATTAAATATTGACAGGATTTGTGTGTATGTACAAAGCCAAACAGTGTCTGATAGACATATTCCTACTTAAACATAAGCACTTATAGTAATGTATTAAAGCTATGTTTGAAAAATTATCCTTCAAGTTATACTAGCTTTTCCTCATTTCAAATAGTGCCCCTTGGAATACATCTGCAAAAAATGAGTCCTTGGGTACTTGTTACAACATGGGGTTTAGACTGGCTGGGAATCTGAAGGTAAAGAAATATCAACTGTACAAAACACAAGTGGTTAATGTCAGTCAATGAAGAAAAGGGATCAGGAAAATTTTAATTGATTCACAAATTCAACGCAGCTCCTCACTCTTGCCAGTAAAGTGTTCTACAATAGGATCCCCTTGTGTGATTAACAATGTAGGGATTTCAAGTACATATCTGGTAGAGGATCCTTTCTTGTGTACAAGTACTGCACTATCCAACGTAAGCAAACTGATGATGAAGATGGTTTTCACTTTTAAAAATCACATATAATATACTTGTAATCCAGGATAGAGAATCTCTTTCTGTGACAAGAAACAATTCTCTGTACAGAACAACACATGGTGTGTCTTAACCAGACAGACATTGTCCACCAACAGACCAAAGACCCACCAAAATGTTCATGTCTTTTATTGACCTGCAGCACATTCCCTCCTGTCTCTAGCCCTAATCGCCAGGAGTCCACACAACTGGATATCCCTGCCACATTTCGACGCCTCAGTGCATAAAACCAAAAGGAAAAGCACTCAATTTTAAATCAGCCACCTTAAGCATACAAATAAAAACAATTAGCAAGTGATTTGGGTAATTCTCAAGTTTCTTCAAAAAGGTTTTGCACCAGTATTGTTGGAAATATTTGTTAAGTCAACACTTTGAATTGGCTCAATTAGTGAGTGTTGGGTTCAACAATGCTTTGAACAGTAATCCAGTTACATGATGGCATCGTGTCAGCTTTATGTGGGAAGAAAGCCCAAAGTCATGCATGTCTCAGACGTTTACTACTAAAACCCATGACAGGTATGCTTGACAATCCCAGAAACGTAACTGGGGAGAACCGGGACTCGAACCCCACAATCATGAGCCAAATGAAAACTTTGTGTGGTTGCTTCTTCTAAAAATCTTGCCAGCTAAGGGACACAACTCTACATGAAAACTGCCACCCATCTGAAGAATGAGTGAGTTGTGTTTATTGCCACTTTTAACAGTATTCCAGTTTTATCACGTGTCAGCCATGTGGGAGGAAGGCCCGAAGTGATGCAGATCTTACATCTTTACCACTTTGGTGAAACTCACAAGCAAGGTTATGGTGCAGAAACATTCGGGGGGGAAACCGGCCCGTCAGAAGAAAAAAACAAAAGCAGATATAATGCAAAGGAATAGATGACTAGCAACTCTCATTATGTAATGGTAAAGTTGATACGCCATACCTTTATTTCATAAAACTGACATGTTTTCGAATACGATGTGTGAGAGAACGCTTTATGATGACTGTTTTTTCTGGAACTAAACATGGCTGAAGTCAGACACACGCCTCCTACTCTCCACACCAGACTACTCACTCCAACACAATGCAACGTAACAACATGTAAAGTTAAATACGCAAAGGAACAAACAACAAAAAGCACTTAAACTGCATTCTGACAACCTCTGCATATGTATATAAAACAGTTGAAAAAACACAAACTTGATGCTTATACAGATTTAGGTGTATTTTTGGCAGGCCGTTCTCGAGATGGTAGATTCTATGTGAAAATCCACCACTCTCCTGTTCGATGATTATTCTTCCTGATCCAAGATGAAGAAATACTGTCAGCCTCCACGTTCTCATCAAATCACGACTCTGCGGTCATACGGACAAAACATGACTACATTCAACTCAGAATATAACAGCTGTTTACCAACACAGTTGGTAAACCCAAACTTTAGCATTCATGTGAACAGCTTTCACTACAACATTAAGGGGTGATTGAAGAACATCTGTGGAAATATCCCTGTTGGCAACCCTGATGTAATTCAACAAACCCATCCTACAACAGTCTTTGTCATAGCCTATCACTCCTATCTCCCCAGCCGTTGATTTACTGCTCAAACAGCACATCTGTACCAATTCCCATTAAGCAATATCAGTCAAAGTTGCTGCAACTGGAATCTGTGGTTTTTGTGTTTTGTTTTGACATCGAGTAAATCGATAATAACATACATCCTGTCTTCTCATCAGTTCAGTGTATACATAAGAAATGCTTCATTCCGCCAGGTTCTGTCTACTGACAAGACTAGATCAAACGTCCAAATATCTATACAATTTTCAATAACATTATACAACCAACCAATTAAAAAAATAAAGGATTACTTGTGTCAAAACGTGCAAACAGACAGTGCTATTACAAATAATATAATGACACAATTGCAGAGAACCAAGACATAATTTGTTTCTTTACGCTATTCACTTTCGATGTAATGTAATCTAGATGCATTGTTACAACTGAGAGAGATGAACCTGTTTGCCTAAATTCTTAGGTCCAAATTAACTATAGACAGCATAGACAGTCCTCATGTGGTGCTTGCATGTATATTAAAATGATCTATCATCTGTATATGCTAGAATATACACACATTACACACCCTTTACATTGAATCAAAAGGCCAGCACACACAGAAGCAGCACATTTTTTTTCAAAACCCACATTCAGGCAGCGCGTCAGTGCAGCAGTTCAGGAAAAATATTTAACAGACTTCAGTGAGTGTGTGAGTTGGGATTAACGCTGCTATTAGCAACATTCCAGCTATATCATGGTGGGAGCATACAGTCAGAAATGGGGTTTCTTAACATTGTACCCATATGGGAATCGAACGGGCCTATTGTGTGGCGAGCAAACGTTTTAACCACTAGGTTACCTCCCCTGTGTATGTCTAATGAAGGCCAGTTGTATATTACAGAAGAACACTGTAAGATTTGCCATAATAGGTGGATAGAGAAATGTGAGAAGAAAGCGTATATTATCAGAGAAGACAAGTGAAAAAAAGTAAAACTAAGATACTGGCTCCATGATATTATAATTTTACCTTGAGCTTCAAGGAATCAAGCAGCAAGTATCACTTTTGAGTGATTGAAAACCTACATGCTGCATTGATTTGCAATGCAAATGAAAGAACACTGACACAATTGTTTATGCTGACATGCTGCTTCAGTTTGGAGTGGCCTTTTGACATCAAAACACAACTGAAAGCCTACAGCTCGAACAAAGTCGTAAGCTCAATCACAACAGATACTGATGTACACAACAGCCTATTATGTCCATATAAGGTCTCAGAGGAACCAAGACAGACACTGTTACAGAATTATGTCAGATATGTACAAATATGCATCCAATAACAAATTAACTGCAGGATCATGATATAAAGAGGAAAACGTGATAGCTTGCATTTTTTCGTTAATCAAAAATATTCGGAAAGTATTTGATTTGCATGTAAAAATCAGCATTGGACAATTCATCTTTGATATATTATTTACAAGTGGTACGATAGGAAAGAACCTTGCTGTGAAACCGACTGTGAAGATGCAAAAACCGTTACTGGATGACGATATCTTGAAAAGAGTTTAGAAATTTAAGGTTTCTACTAAGCTGCTAATTCAGCTGGTTTGTGGCCAGCTCATGCTTAACTCCATCTCATTGAAATCAGATCTTTTATCTGACAAACCCTCCAAAAGATGTTGCTTCAGGTGAACTTTTAGGGCTTCGAATTGTCAGTATGAGTGAGTAAAGTATTTACAAAAGCATATCTGATATCTGTATCTCATAAACAAAGTTAAACGAACAGTTCTGAATGTAAATAATAAAAGTCATGCTGTTACACTGTGGATATTTAATACACACTGTTGTTTCTGAGTACCAAGACATCTACATCCAAAAGGGAGCACCAACAAAAGGATTATTTGTGTCCTTGTGTGGGTTTTCTTTTGTTAAAATAAACAATTCTGAATTGAGGTTAAAATCAGTTTAGATAGCTGACATACGATTGGCTCAAGGACCCATTTAGATTGGACGTCAAAAGTCTCAAAGGGTTCAACAGAAGCGACCTTCTATGGAGGATTTGTGAAGCAGACAGGTATCATATGAGAGTAAAGGACCTGATTTTGATGAGATTGATACTTAGCTCTGTAAAAGGTTGGTCGAGATGTGAGGTTCACACCACAGCACAGGCACACTAGCAAAGTCACTCTGTCACTCATCTTGCACACCTCATTAACCAACTTGGTCAATAAATTAGAATATTTTCATGTAACAACTAACAATGGAATACCATGACAAGACTAAAGAATGATGTTGCAGTCCTGCATTGCACGTATTTAACAGTGGGCAGGAAAACATACAGATGTGATCATTTGTTTAATTCCTCAAAAAGAACAAAATACTGTGATACAAGAAACTTAATAATAAGTTAAATAATGCCATGCTGAAGAGATCTTCTATTAAACAATACCGGAACATGCTTTTAAATACCATGCATTCTCTTCCCAAATATTTTTGTAGCGATTGACTGAAAAAGAAATCCAAATCTTCATCCTCCTGCCTTCTGTTAACTCAGCCCATCCACTGTAACCATGGTTATGGCTACCATGACAACAAGCTAGATCCATGGTTCCATTTTTCATGGTTACAACACAATGCTGTCATCCAGGCAGATGGTGCCAAGCTTGCTTTGATACCAATCCTATATGCACACTGTAAAAACTTCAAATTACACCCAGCGCTTCAAGCCCCCAGAACGCCCTCAGCATAAACCTTAACTTTGATCAAATTTTGAAAGCATCATACAAAGGGAACCATTTCAAAGTTGCAAAATAATATCAAATAACAGGTCTTCAAATGTGTATCTTCCTGGTGTCTTGTCTCTGTCTATCATCTGTGGTCATCTTCATCAAGCATGTATATCACACATTAATTTTGTCATGTTATGTTAGTGTTCATAAACGGAATGGATGAATTTGATTGTTTTTCTCAGGATAACTTGGTGTACATCGCCTTGATCTGGGAGTCAAAGTACCGCTTCAGCTCCTGCCTCTTGGCTTTGAATGTGGGCGTGAGCAAACCGTTCTCTACTGAAAACATCTCGGGATACACATAGATGTCCTTCACCTGAAACAATAGAACACGTACACAATCATTTGGAATATTTTATTAAAATGAAATCACATTTTTTTTTTAAAAAACATTCTCCCAGAAATTGCTTGGAAAAAATAATTAAAAAAGCAAATTGTTGAAGAAAAAAAATGAAAGAAAATGTGTGCCACAAATAATACATTGTTGAAAGATGTTTTTTATGGAAGAATATTTAGGCTCGTAGTTTCAATTAACAAAATATCTGGTTCTGCAGCTGCAGCTGAAAACATATCTAGTCTCCAAATACAATCCCTGGCCCCTCCCTGGCTCTTGTTTGGGTCAAATGCATAAGATGTAATCAGTTAAGCCTGCCCTGCCAACACAGCACTGACCTGTTCCAGTGAGGAGAGCCCTGCCTTCTTCCCCACCTCCAGCAGATCTGCCAGAATCACCTTCTTCACCTCCTGGACACAGAACACTTGGAACATCAGAACCACATCACAGAACAACAGCAGCAATATCTCACAGAACACACAAGGAATAGCAGCAATATCTCACAGAAAACACACACCAAACAGCAGCAATATCTCACAGAGCACACACGGAACAGCAGCAATATCTCACAGAACACACACGGAACAGCAGCAAAATCTCACAGAACACACACATGCAACAGCAGCAATATCTCACAGAACACACACAACAGCAGCAATATCTCACAGAACACACAGAACAACAGCAGCAATATCTCACAGAGCACACACATGCAACAGCAGCAATATCTCACAGAACACACATGCAACAGCAGCAATATCTCACAGAACACACACGAAACAGCAGCAATATCTCACAGAACACACACGGAACAGCAGCAATATCTCACAGAACACACACGGAACAGCAGTAATATCTCACAGAAAACATACACCACAGCAGCAATATCTCACATAATACACACACAACAGCAGCAATATCTCACAGAACACATGCAACAGCAGCAATATCTCACAGAACACACACATGCAACAGCAGCAATATTTCACAGAACACACACACACAACAGCAGCAATATCTCACAGAACACACACACACAACAGCAGCAATATCTCACAGAGCACACACAGAACAGCAGCAATATCTCACAGAACACACAGAACAACAGCAGCAATATCTCACAGAACACAGAACATCAGCAATATCTCATAACAATATTAATACAAATAAATACAAATATAGCATAAAGCCAGCATCAGTAGGTAATCGCTCACATCAGTTACAGCATATCCATGTGACTACTACACATAACTAGTCTCTCCACTGGCAGTATCCAGTACAATATATATCATACAGCTTGTCTCCCACTGGCAGTATCCAGTACAATATATATCATACAGCTTGTCTCCCACTGGCAGTATCCAGTACAATATATATCATACAGCTTGTCTCCCACTGGCAGTATCCAGTACAATATATATCATACAGCTTGTCTCTCCACCGGCAGTATCCAGTACAATATATATCATACAGCTTGTCTCCCACTGGCAGTATCCAGTACAATATATATCATACAGCTAGTCTCCCACTGGCAGTATCCAGTACAATATATATCATACAGCTTGTCTCCCACTGGCAGTATCCAGTACAATATATATCATACAGCTTATCTCCCACCGGCAGTATCCAGTACAATATATATCATACAGCTAGTCTCTCCACCGGCAGTATCCAGTACAATATATATCATACAGCTTGTCTCCCACTGGCAGTATCCAGTACAATATATATCATACAGCTTGTCTCCCACTGGCAGTATCCAGTACAATATATATCATACAGCTTATCTCCCACCGGCAGTATCCAGTACAATATATATCATACAGCTAGTCTCTCCACCGGCAGTATCCAGTACAATATATATCATACAGCTTATCTCCCACCGGCAGTATCCAGTACAATATATATCATACAGCTAGTCTCTCCACCGGCAGTATCCAGTACAATATATATCATACAGCTAGTCTCCCACTGGCAGTATCCAGTACAATATATATCATACATCTTGTCTCCCACTGGCAGTATCCAGTACAATATATATCATACAGCTAGTCTCCCACTGGCAGTATCCAGTACAATATATATCATACAGCTTGTCTCCCACTGGCAGTATCCAGTACAATATATATCATACAGCTTGTCTCCCACTGGCAGTATCCAGTACAATATATATCATACAACTTGTCTCCCACTGGCAGTATCCAGTACCAATATATATCATACAGCTTGTCTCTCCACCGGCAGTATCCAGTACAATATATATCATACAGCTTGTCTCTCCACCGGCAGTATCCAGTACAATATATATCATACAGCTTGTCTCCCACTGGCAGTATCCAATACTTACAGCATTCCTGGCCAGGTCTTCAATAGACTGTCTGAGTTTCAGTTTGTCTGCTGCATACTTGGGCAGCATGTCTGGGTCAGGCACAACCACACCCACAAGACACGACTGGAATCATAATCAGTTGTGTAGGTCAATACTATTACTAATAAATAGATGTTTGGAGGAAATAGTCAATAGCATATTCATTAAAATATGTTTGTTTTCTAGCATGATATATAAATAATGTGCATAGTTATACAATCTCTCTCATGTCGGAATATTTGCAAGGCGTATTTACTTGATTTTTTTTCTTCCAAATATTAAATTTGGCTATGGTGCTGACAACCTACAAAAATAATCAGGTTGAGTCTGGGATTCAAACCCACGTTTATAGGTTTCTGGCAAGCCTAAGGGATGCAACTCTACAGAGGGAATTATAGCATCGCTGTAGACAAATGGGCTACCTGTGTCTCTCCAGTAAGTTGAAGACACATCTAGACTGGAGTAAATACCCACCTGTAAACTGTCTCCATGGATGAAGACTTGTGCAACTAACGAACAGCGAATGTAAACATTTTCAATCTTTTCTGGAGCAATGTATTCTCCCTGAAACAGATGCACAAGGCACAAAGATGTAGTCTCACTCACACATCTACAGCAAATAATAACATACATGTAGTATGATAGGACAGAGAGCGGTGAAAACATGTGCATTCATGATAGAAGTGAGTTGAGTTGAGTTGAGTTGACTTGAGTTGAGAAATGTCAACACAACAGAGAAGCTTCAGCTAAAATTTGTGAAGACATCATATCATACGGCAGTCAAAAAGGCCCAAATGCAAATGTGTTAATATCTTTCTATCCTTTTGAGTAAAATAAAACAACTACTTGAAACATAAACCGCTAGTGATTGTTACCATTTCCATGTTTACAACAGTTGGATTCAATAACAGAATACAACCTACCTGAGCTAGTTTGAAAATGTGCTTCTTTCTGTCAATGATTTTCAGTGCTCCGTTCTGAAAAAGATATAAAACAGTGTCACCATGATCTGTCTTCTCATGTTCTTGTTTTGAAAGTGAATCACTATCATAGCAAGACATATTTGGCAAAATATTCAACTCTGTTTTTGTCTTAAGACGTACCCTGCAATATTCAAGCAAAATGACAACAGCCTGTAATTAATCAATCCCTTGATTGATATTATGAGACCAAGTCCCACACTATCAGGGTACGATGACACACTGATCTACTCACAGACAGTCACTCCCCAATGTCCCCTGTGTGTTGGACATGTCATCGCCTAGCTCCCAAAACGGATCTATCACAGATGCCTCTCCCCAATGTCCCCTGTGTGTTGGACATATCCTCTCCTAGCCCCACACACTGATCTACTAACAGGCAGCCTCTCCCCAATGTCCTCTGTGTTGGACATGTCCTCTCCTAGCCCCACACACTGATCTACTCAAAGATGCCACTCCCCAATGTCCCCTGTGTGTTGGACATATCCTCTCCTAGCCCCACACACTGATCTACTAACAGGCAGCCTCTCCCCAATGTCCTCTGTGTTGGACATGTCCTCTCCTAGCCCAACACTCTGATCTACTCACAGATGCCTCTCCCCAATGTCCCCTGTGTGTTGGACATGTCCTCTGTGTGTTGGACATGTCCTCTCCTAGCCCCACACACTGATCTACTCACAGGCAGCCTCTCCCCAATGTCCTCTGTGTTGGACATGTCCTCTCCTAGCCCCCAAAACGGATCTACTTACAGACAGCCTCTCCCCAATGTCCTCTGTGTTGGACATGTCCTCTCCTAGCCCCACACACTGATCTACTCACAGGCAGCCACTCCCCAATGTCCCCTGTGTGTTGGACATGTCCTCTCCTAGCCCCACACACTGATCTACTCACAGATGCCTCTCCCCAATGTCCCCTGTGTGTTGGACATGTCCTCTCCTAGCCCCACACACTGATCTACTCACAGATGCCTCTCCCCAATGTCCCCTGTGTGTTGGACATGTCCTCTCCTACCCCCACACACTGATCTACTCACAGACAGCCTCTCCCCAATGTTCTCTGTGTTGGACATGTCCTCTCCTAGCCCCACACACTGATCTACTCACAGACAGCCACTCCCCAATGTTCTCTGTGTTGGACATGTCCTCTCCTAGCCCACCACACTGATCTACTCACAGACAGCCACTCCCCAATGTCCTCTGTGTTGGACATGTCCTCTCCTAGCCCCACACACTGATCTACTCACAGATGCCTCTCCCCAATGTCCTCTGTGTTGGACATGTCCTCTCCTAGCCCCACACACTGATCTACTCACAGACAGCCTCTCCCCAATTTCCTCTGTGTTGGACATGTCCTCTCCTAGCCCCATACACTGATCTACTCACAGACAGCCACTCCCCAATGTCCTCTGTGTTGGACATGTCCTCTCCTAGCCCCACACACTGATCTACTTACAGACAGCCACTCCCCAATGTCCCCTGTGTGTTGGACATGTCCTCTCCTAGCCCCACACACTGATCTACTTACAGATGCCTCTCCTCAATGTCCTCTGTGTTGGACATGTCCTCTCCTAGCCCCACACACTGATCTACTCACAGACAGCCACTCCCCAATGTCCTCTGTGTTGGACATGTCCTCTCCTAGCCCCACACACTGATCTACTCACAGATGCCTCTCCTCAATGTCCTCTGTGTTGGACATGTCCTCTCCTAGCCCCACACACTGATCTACTCACAGACAGCCACTCCCCAATGTCCCCTGTGTGTTGGACATGTCCTCTCCTAGCCCCACACACTGATCTACTCACAGACAGCCACTCCCCAATGTCCTCTGTTTTGGACATGTCCTCTCCTAGCCCCACACACTGATCTACTTACAGATGCCTCTCCTCAATGTCCTCTGTGTTGGACATGTCCTCTCCTAGCCCCACACACTGATCTACTCACAGACAGCCACTCCCCAATGTCCTCTGTGTTGGACATGTCCTCTCCTAGCCCCACACACTGATCTACTCACAGACAGCCACTCCCCAATGTCCTCTGTGTTGGACATGTCCTCTCCTAGCCCCACACACTGATCTACTCACGGGCAGCCACTCTCCAATGTCCCCTGTGTGTTGGACATGTCCTCTCCTAGCCCCACACACTGATCTACTCACAGACAGCCACTCCCCAATGTCCTCTGTGTTGGACATGTCCTCTCCTAGCCCCACACACTTATCTACTTACAGATGCCTCTCCCCAATGTCCTCTGTGTTGGACATGTCCTCTCCTAGCCCCACATACTGATCTACTCACAGACAGCCACTCCCCAATGTCCCCTGTGTGTTGGACATGTCCTCTCCTAGCCCCACACACTGATCTACTCACCGACAGCCACTCCCCAATGTCCCTGGTGTTGGACATGTCCTCTCCTAGCCCCACACACTGATCTACTCACAGACAGCCACTCCCCAATGTCCCCTGTGTTGGACATGTCCTCTCCTAGCCCCACACACACTGATCTACTCACAGACAGCCACTCCCCAATGTCCCCTGTGTTGGACATGTCCTCTCCTAGCCCCACACACTGATCTACTCACAGACAGCCACTCCCCAATGTCCCCTGTGTTGGACATGTCCTCTCCTATCCCCACACACAGATGTACTCACAGGCAGCCACTCTCCAATGTCCCCTGTGTGTTGGACATGTCTTTTTGGACATGTCCTCTCCTATCCCCACACACGGATCTACTCACGAGCAGCCACTCTCCAATGTCCCCTGTGTGTTGGACATGTCTTTTTGGACATGTCCTCTCCTATCCCCACACACGGATCTACTCACGGGCAGCCACTCTCCAATGTCCCCTGTGTGTTGGACATGTCCTCTCCTATCCCCACACACTGATCTACTCACAGACAGCCACTCCCCAATGTCCTCTGTTTTGGACATGTCCTCTCCTAGCCCCACACACTGATCTACTTACAGATGCCTCTCCTCAATGTCCTCTGTGTTGGACATGTCCTCTCCTAGCCCCACACACTGATCTACTCACAGACAGCCTCTCCCCAATGTCCTCTGTGTTGGACATGTCCTCTCCTAGCCCCACACACTGATCTACTCACAGACAGCCACTCCCCAATGTCCTCTGTGTTGGACATGTCCTCTCCTAGCCCCACACACTGATCTACTCACGGGCAGCCACTCTCCAATGTCCCCTGTGTGTTGGACATGTCCTCTCCTAGCCCCACACACTGATCTACTCACAGACAGCCACTCCCCAATGTCCTCTGTGTTGGACATGTCCTCTCCTAGCCCCACACACTTATCTACTTACAGATGCCTCTCTCCAATGTCCTCTGTGTTGGACATGTCCTCTCCTAGCCCCACATACTGATCTACTCACAGACAGCCACTCCCCAATGTCCCCTGTGTGTTGGACATGTCCTCTCCTAGCCCCACACACTGATCTACTCACAGAAAGCCACTCCCCAATGTCCCCTGTGTTGGACATGTCCTCTCCTAGCCCCACCCACTGATCTACTCACAGACAGCCACTCCCCAATGTCCCCTGTGTTGGACATGTCCTCTCCTAGCCCCACACACTGATCTACTCACAGACAGCCACTCCCCAATGTCCCCTGTGTTGGACATGTCCTCTCCTAGCCCCACACACACTGATCTTCTCACAGGCAGCCACTCCCCAATGTCCCCTGTGTTGGACATGTCCTCTCCTACCCCCACACACTGATCTACTCACAGACAGCCACTCCCCAATGTCCCCTGTGTGTTGGACATGTCCTCTCCTAGCCCCACACACTGATCTACTCACGGGCAGCCACTCCCCAATGTCCCCTGTGTGTTGGACATGTCCTCTCCTACCCCCACACACTGATCTACTCACAGGCAGCCACTCCCCAATGTCCTCTGTGTTGGACATGTCCTCTCCTAGCCCCACACACTTATCTACTTACAGATGCCTCTCCCCAATGTCCTCTGTGTTGGACATGTCCTCTCCTAGCCCCACATACTGATCTACTCACAGACAGCCACTCCCCAATGTCCCCTGTGTGTTGGACATGTCCTCTCCTAGCCCCACACACTGATCTACTCACAGACAGCCACTCCCCAATGTCCCCTGTGTTGGACATGTCCTCTCCTAGCCCCACACACTGATCTACTCACAGACAGCCACTCCCCAATGTCCCCTGTGTTGGACATGTCCTCTCCTAGCCCCACACACACTGATCTACTCACAGACAGCCACTCCCCAATGTCCCCTGTGTTGGACATGTCCTCTCCTAGCCCCACACACTGATCTACTCACAGACAGCCACTCCCCAATGTCCCCTGTGTTGGACATGTCCTCTCCTAGCCCCACACACTGATCTACTCACGGGCAGCCACTCCCCAATGTCCCCTGTGTGTTGGACATGTCCTCTCCTAGCCCCACACACTGATCTACTCACAGACAGCCACTCCCCAATGTCCTCTGTGTTGGACATGTCCTCTCCTAGCCCCACACACTTATCTACTTACAGATGCCTCTCCCCAATGTCCTCTGTGTTGGACATGTCCTCTCCTAGCCCCACATACTGATCTACTCACAGACAGCCACTCCCCAATGTCCCCTGTGTGTTGGACATGTCCTCTCCTAGCCCCACACACTGATCTACTCACAGACAGCCACTCCCCAATGTCCCCTGTGTTGGACATGTCCTCTCCTAGCCCCACACACTGATCTACTCACAGACAGCCACTCCCCAATGTCCCCTGTGTTGGACATGTCCTCTCCTAGCCCCACACACACTGATCTACTCACAGACAGCCACTCCCCAATGTCCCCTGTGTTGGACATGTCCTCTCCTAGCCCCACACACTGATCTACTCACAGACAGCCACTCCCCAATGTCCCCTGTGTTGGACATGTCCTCTCCTATCCCCACACACAGATGTACTCACAGGCAGCCACTCTCCAATGTCCCCTGTGTGTTGGACATGTCTTTTTGGACATGTCCTCTCCTATCCCCACACACGGATCTACTCACGAGCAGCCACTCTCCAATGTCCCCTGTGTGTTGGACATGTCTTTTTGGACATGTCCTCTCCTATCCCCACACACGGATCTACTCACGGGCAGCCACTCTCCAATGTCCCCTGTGTGTTGGACATGTCCTCTCCTATCCCCACACACTGATCTACTCACAGACAGCCACTCCCCAATGTCCTCTGTTTTGGACATGTCCTCTCCTAGCCCCACACACTGATCTACTTACAGATGCCTCTCCTCAATGTCCTCTGTGTTGGACATGTCCTCTCCTAGCCCCACACACTGATCTACTCACAGACAGCCTCTCCCCAATGTCCTCTGTGTTGGACATGTCCTCTCCTAGCCCCACACACTTATCTACTTACAGATGCCTCTCTCCAATGTCCTCTGTGTTGGACATGTCCTCTCCTAGCCCCACATACTGATCTACTCACAGACAGCCACTCCCCAATGTCCCCTGTGTGTTGGACATGTCCTCTCCTAGCCCCACACACTGATCTACTCACAGAAAGCCACTCCCCAATGTCCCCTGTGTTGGACATGTCCTCTCCTAGCCCCACACACACTGATCTTCTCACAGGCAGCCACTCCCCAATGTCCCCTGTGTTGGACATGTCCTCTCCTACCCCCACACACTGATCTACTCACAGACAGCCACTCCCCAATGTCCCCTGTGTGTTGGACATGTCCTCTCCTAGCCCCACACACTGATCTACTCACGGGCAGCCACTCCCCAATGTCCCCTGTGTGTTGGACATGTCCTCTCCTACCCCCACACACTGATCTACTCACAGGCAGCCACTCCCCAATGTCCCCTGTGTGTTGGACATGTCCTCTCCTAGCCCCACACACTGATCTACTCACAGACAGCCACTCCCCAATGTCCTGTGTGTTGGACATGTCCTCTCCTAGCCCCACACACTGATCTACTCACAGATGCCACTCCCCAATGTCCCCTGTGTTGGACATGTCCTCTCCTAGCCCCACACACTGATCTACTCACGGGCAGCCACTCCCCAATGTCCCCTGTGTGTTGGACATGTCTTTTTGGACATGTCCTCTCCTATCCCCACACACGGATCTACTCACGGGCAGCCGCTCTCCAATGTCCCCTGTGTGTTGGACATGTCCTCTCCTATCCCCACACACTGATCTACTCACAGACAGCCACTCCCCAATGTCCTCTGTGTTGGACATGTCCTCTCCTAGCCCCACACACTGATCTACTCACGGGCAGCCACTCCCCAATGTCCCCTGTGTGTTGGACATGTCCTCTCCTAGCCCCACACACTGATCTACTCACAGACAGCCTCTCCCCAATGTCCTCTGTGTTGGACATGTCCTCTCCTAGCCCCACACACTGATCTACTCACAGATGCCACTCCCCAATGTCCCCTGTGTTGGACATGTCCTCTCCTAGCCCCACACACTGATCTACTCACGGGCAGCCACTCCCCAATGTCCCCTGTGTGTTGGACATGTCTTTTTGGACATGTCCTCTCCTATCCCCACACACGGATCTACTCACGGGCAGCCGCTCTCCAATGTCCCCTGTGTGTTGGACATGTCCTCTCCTATCCCCACACACTGATCTACTCACAGACAGCCACTCCCCAATGTCCTGTGTGTTGGACATGTCCTCTCCTATCCCCACACACAGATGTACTCACAGGCAGCCACTCTCCAATGTCCCCTGTGTGTTGGACATGTCTTTTTGGACATGTCCTCTCCTATCCCCACACACGGATCTACTCACGGGCAGCCACTCTCCAATGTCCCCTGTGTGTTGGACATGTCTTTTTGGACATGTCCTCTCCTATCCCCACACACGGATCTACTCACGGGCAGCCACTCTCCAATGTCCCCTGTGTGTTGGACATGTCCTCTCCTATCCCCACACACTGATCTACTCACAGACAGCCACTCCCCAATGTCCTGTGTGTTGGACATGTCCTCTCCTATCCCCACACACAGATGTACTCACAGGCAGCCACTCTCCAATGTCCCCTGTGTGTTGGACATGTCCTCTCCTATCCCCACACACTGATCTACTCACAGACAGCCACTCCCCAATGTCCTGTGTGTTGGACATGTCCTCTCCTATCCCCACACACAGATGTACTCACGGGCAGCCACTCTCCAATGTCCCCTGTGTGTAGCCAGCCTTCACTGTCCAGGGCATCCTTGGTCTTTACTGGATCTTTCAGATATCCCCGGAATACATTGGGGCCTCGGATGCAAACCTGGAAGTGATATGTTTACTTTAAGTGTCTCATAAAGAGCATACATCTATATCAAGACATCGTGATGTTATAAGTATATGAAGAAACTTATGCTTATAATGCAATAATGGTATAAGAGTCTGTACATTTGAGTCTACTTTCCTGAACTTGTCATTTAACATTTCCACGATGCTTATTAATCATAAGAACTTGAACTTGAACCTGATATCAGACTGGTGGCTGATGTTGCAGACTAACATAATGTGCACTGTATGAAAAAGACTGACCCTCCAACAAACCTAAGATTCGGGTAGAGAATAGGTCTTCAGCAACCCATGCTTGCCGTAACAGGTGACTTTGCTTGTCGTGAGAGGCGACTAACGGGATCGGGTGGTCAGGCTCGCTGACTTGGTGGATGCATGGATTGTCTGGTCCAGGCTTGATTATTTACAGACTGCGGTCATATAGCTGGAATATTGCTGAGTGCGGAGTCAAACAACAAACAATCCAATAAACCTGGAATGTCTTAGTTTTGTTTGTTGTGTAATACAGTGCTCAGCAATATTCCAGATACATAATGGCAGCCTTAAAAAACCAAGACCAGACAAACCAGATATTAATTATCATGGTAGGGGTATTAATTTCCATCATGGCATGACTTACCTCCCCCTTGTTGCTGCCAGAGTAGTACTCCATTTCAGCAACATCTGCCAGTTTGATCTGGTTGCACGTCAACGGCGGTCCAACATTACCTGTGAGTAGACACATTAACCAACCTCAGCCATACATGTTCAATAACAGTGAGCAAGTGGATTTACACAACTTTTAGCAAACCCAAGGAATTATAGGCTTCACACATTATACCCATGTGGGAATAGAACCCGGGGCCTTTGATGCCACGGGTTAATGCTTTATCCGCCCTGCTTCCCCACCGCCACTATGAAACGACAACATATAACCTCTGAAGTATATCTACTCTAATACCATATTGACAGTGTTTCAGATTGGATTTCTGTATGAGACAGATTATTTTTTCTGTCAGAGCTCCAAGACACACAATTTTATCTCTAAAAGGCTGAGCCAAACTATCATTTTTAACCCACAACACATATTTTTCAAAACACCCAACATGTCCAGTGAACAATTATTTTTTTCTTATACATCCCAAGGACAAACTATTTGCTCTAGCACTTTTAGATTATATTTTTCAAAAGAGTCCCAAGCCACTCCTTGTCACAACTGGAACACTCATAACAGTACACTCATTACATTTTACTCAATGGCAGAGACCGCCTCCATGGTCTTGCGGTAGAATGTCCGCCCTGAGAGAGGAAGTTCCGGGTTCCACCCCGGCCGCATCATACCAAAAGATGTTAAAAGATGGTACCTGTTACTCTGCCTTGCGCTGGGCATTAGGGGGCTAAAACAAGGACTGGTCGACTCGGAGTCAGTATACTGTGTCTGAGTGGGGTATTCATGTTAAACTGTGGCATGGTATCTCAGTGGGCTAGCACTATAAAATCGGCCTTAGTCTGGACTAGTACAAGCAGCCACACACACGTCCATGCACTTCACTATATAAGTGCACTAAGCTTGGGTGTGATGTTAAACCCCAATGGCATTTCACTTCACCTCATCAATGGTAAAATAAGGAGTTCTTGTGAAGCACCTGAATATTTGTACTACCATGAGTACACCAGTCCTATATTACCTGTGAGATGATCCCCAACTATCTGTAACGTGGCAATAGCTGAACATTCTGTCTGCCCATAGCCCTCCAAGATCTGAAAGAACACACACCAAAATTGCATCCTCCTCTAGTTTTACACTTTTATTTAGGCACTTCCCTGAACTAAAAGCACAGAAATGCTGATAGTTGTGCTCCAAAATGGATTTACAAAAGATTGCCTCATGCATAATTTTATATGGCTATTATCAGTCAGGGTGGCCTCTTGCCTACGCGGCAATTAAATTCCCATAACTGTGTAGAAATTCAATTTGGCCAGTTTTTGCATTTGTTTCCCTTTTTGTTTTCAAAAAAGTATTAACTTACGTGAAGAAAGACACAAATAGTAACATACATTCATTATGTTTGTATAAATGTACATTTGAAAAATAATTAACAGTAATCTTGACTTAGAAAGGGAAAATGTTTTAAAAAATCATTCAAAACAGTAGGGTAATTTCAACTGGTAACTGCAACCTTCATTTGTTGAATTTTGTTATAAAACTTATATCATTAGAATTGCAAATGCTTAAGGAACAGTAAAACGTGATTTTTTTCCGATTATTTTCGCCAACTTCCATGTGTAATGCGGTGGCGATTTTTATTAATCATTATTTATGATTATTTAACACATTTTGGGAGACTCTTTTAATTATAAGTTTGTTCAACAAATACCGTTACAGTTTCAATACAAGCAAACCCTTTTAATCAGGACAGCATATTTCATTGTAAAACTGTCCACAATTACAAATTTTCCAAATTAACTGAACACAGCAACAAAGATATATTGCCTAAATTGAATTTCCACCAGCCTCTTTTGGGGCAGGGGATTCTGGAATAGCAGGGTCCAGACTAATAGGGTTTCACTGTATACAGTATGGTAGACAAAATTATCAGGGAATGAAAAAGTAACAAACATGAGATAAATTTAACCTTTAATCAGAAAATACACTGACCTAATAGATATGTTCACAATGATTTTTATCAATAAATGCCATTAACCCCAAAGTGATGTGGTTCTAGTTACATGAGTGAGCTATAATTCTTTCCAGTTATTTTTGACAAAATAAAGAGCACATGAAAAAATATAACTATATAATATACATGTAATGTTGTTGTAGGTTTTCATAGGGCCTTACCGGACATCCAACACAACATCTGAGAAAGCCGAGGACTTTAGCGGACAATGGTGCAGAGCCTGTGACGATGAGTTTGACCTTGCCCCCGAGCGCATCCTGAACCTTCCGGAACATCAACTGATCCCAGATACTCGACCTCCGGATCACACCCCTGCGACACAAGAATGTTTCAATGACCACCTATATTTTCGAATTTTCTCAATCCAAATCTGAAACTCTTTTCTTCGTTTTACTGATTTTCTTGTGAATCATCAATGGTAGGTGGGAAAATAAATAAATAAAAAGACCAAACATATAACCTTGTCAGACCATTTCAGTCCACCCTCTTGACTGATTGACTCAACAACACAAGACAAATCAACACTTGATCACTTGGCTATGTGTTTGACATCAAAACAAAAGCATAACAGACACCTTTTCAGTTCCTTCTCCTTTTCTGCCAGAGCAATGTTGAACAGGAACTTCTTGACAGGACTTGAGTTAACTCCTGACATCACCTGAAAGTAAAATACCGGAATAGGAATGGGATTCTTCTCAGGATGTACAAATTTTCATGACACAAACATTATTAAAATGCTTTTGTTTGTTTGTTGTTTAACGCTGCTGCACTATTTAGCAATATTCAAGAATGTACGTACCTTATCATAGAACCTATTGAGAAGGTACCAGAGGGTACGTACCTTATCAAAGAACCTATTGAGAGGGAACCTGACGGTATGTACCTTATCATAGAACCTATTGAGAGGGAACCAGACGGTATGTACCTTATCATGGAACCTATTGAGAGGGTACCAGAGGGTAGGTACCTTATCATAGAACCTATTGAGAGGGTACCAGACGGTATGTACCTTATCATAGAACCTATTGAGAGGGTACCAGAGGGTAGGTACCTTATCATGGAACCTATTGAGAGGATACCAGAGGGTACGTACCTTATCATAGAACCAATTGAGAGGGTACCAGAGGGTATGTACCTTATCATAGAACCTATTGAGAGGGTACCAGAGGCTACGTACCTTATCATAGAACCAATTGAGAGGGTACCAGAGGGTAAGTACCTTATCATAGAACCTATTGAGAGGGTACCAGAGGGTACGTACCTTATCATAGAACCTATTGAGAGGGTACCAGAGGGTACGTACCTTATCATAGAACCTATTGAGAGGGTACCAGAGGGTATGTACCTTATCATAGAACCTATTGAGAGGGTACCAGAGGCTACGTACCTTATCATAGAACCAATTGAGAGGGTACCAGAGGGTAAGTACCTTATCATAGAACCTATTGAGAGGGTACCAGAGGGTACGTACCTTATCATAGAACCTATTGAGAGGGTACCAGAGGGTACATACCTTATCATAGGACCTATTGAGAGGATACCAGAGGGTATATACCTTATCATAGAAGCTATTGAGTAGGTACCAGAGGGTATGTACCTTATCATAGAACCTATTGAAAGGGAACCAGACGGTATGTACCTTATCATAGAACCTATTGAGAGGATACCAGAGGGTACGTACCTTATCATAGAACCTATTGAGAGGGTACGAACCCTATCATAGAACCTATTGAGAGGGAACCAGACAGTGCGTACCTTATCATAGAACCTATTGAGAAGGTACCAGAGGATATGTACCTTATCATAGATCCAGAGGGTAGGTACCTTATCATAGAACCTATTGAGAAGGAACCAGAGGGTACGTACCTTTTCATAGAACCTATTGAGAGGGTACGTACCTTATCATAGAACCTATTGAGAAGGAACCCGAGGGTACGTACCTTTTCATAGAACCTATTGAGAGGGTACATACCTTATCATAGAACCTATTGAGAGGGTACGTACCTTATCATAGAACCTATTGAGGGTACCAGAGGGTACGTACCTTATCATAGAACCTATTGAGAAGGAACCAGGGTGTACGTACCTTATCATAAAACCTATTGAGAGGGTACCAGAGGGTACATACCTTATCATAGAACCTATTGAGAAGGAACCCGAGGGTACGTACCTTTTCATAGAACCTATTGAGAGGGTACATACCTTATCATAGAACCTATTGAGAGGGTACGTACCTTATCATAGAACCTATTGAGAAGGAACCAGGGGGTACGTACCTTATCATAAAACCTATTGAGAGGGTACCAGAGGGTACATACCTTATCATAGAACCTATTGAGAGGGAACCAGAGGGTACATACCTTATCATAGAACCTATTGAGAAGAAACCAGAGGGTACGTACCTTATCATAGAACCAGAGGGTAGGTACCTTATCATAGAACCTATTGAGAGGATACCAGAGGGTATGTACCTTATCATAGAACCTATTGAGAGGGTACCAGAGGGTATGTACCTTATCATAGAACCAATTGAGAAGGAACCAGAGGGTACGTACCTTATCATAGAACCTATTGAGAGGATACCAGAGGGTACGTACCTTATCATAGAACCTATTGAGAGTGGTACCAGAGGGTATGTACCTTATCATAAAACCTATTGAGAGGGAACCAGAGGGTATGTACCTTATCATAAAACCTATTGAGAGGGAACCAGAGGGTATGTACCTTATCATAAAACCTATTGAGAGGGAACCAGAGGGTATGTACCTTATCATAGAACCAGAGGGTATGTACCTTATCATAGAACCCATTGAGAGGGTACCAGAAGGTACGTACCTCATCATGGAACCTATTGAGAGGGAACCAGAGGGTCCGTACCTTATCATAGAACCAGAGGGTACGTACCTTATACTAGAACTAGAGGGTACATACCTTATAGAACCAGAGGGTACGTACCTTATACTAGAACCAGATGGTACGTACCTTATCATAGAACCAGAGGGTGTGTACCTTATCATAAAACCTATTGAGAGGGAACCAGATGGTATGTACCTTATCATAGAACATATTGAGAGGGAACCAGACGGTACGTACCTTATCATAGAACCTGTTGAGCAGTCTTGGCACTGTCGGGAAGATGGTGGGCTGAAGTTCCTTGATGTCGTCCATCAGCTTCCTCACATCCCCCTGGAAGAAGCCCACCCGAGCTCCATGCAAATAGATGTAGACCTGAAAGGAAGGGAAAGTTACCATGACAACACATTCTGAGTGGAGAAACATTCCCGCTCAATAACTTTACCCACTACAACCTCCTTCATCCAGAAGGTACAATTCCCAGTGAAAACATCCCGATGAACCACTTTCTGGATCTACGAAATATGGTTATCTGATTATGTCCCTTTCAGTATTCCATTTTTATCACAAATGTCAGCTTAATGTGGGAGGAAAGCTCGATGTGATGCACGTCTTAGATTTTCACCACTTTGGTGAAACCAATGAGCATGGTATAGGGCTGACAAACTTAAGAAATATAATCAGGGCAAAAAAGGATTCAAATCCATGATTAAAGCTTTCTGGCATGCCAAAGTGTCACAGCTCTGCACAGCAAATTGATGAGCCTCAGATGGCAGGGCTACCCCTGCCCTGTCAGATCCAAGATAAGAGCTGAACAAGGTTATGTTTGGAAGACAGCATCAAGCTCTAATGTCCAATATCTCCCTGTAAATGGGTGAATAATTTTTGGGCATGACGAACTGAAACTTTAACCACATTTCCCCACCAGCCAAAATATGACAAAACCCACCTCTAACAGTCGTTCGTAAGAATGAGCTAGCGGCAGGTACGAGATCAAGACATCCGTTGTCTGAATCACCAAGTCAGACGCGTCCTAAACACACAAAGAAACACAGCTGTCAAACATGGCACCAAGGGTACTGAGTATTGTTTCCCAAGTTAATTCAAACATTAGTCAGTACATTTTGTAACAATATTCAGTTATGTACATCCTACTGCTAATACGTACCAGCTGCGTTTCACAAGCAACCACTATAGACACCACACCTCTGTGTGTCAACATAGCACCCTTCGGGAGACCTGAAAGTAAGCATGTTTTTTTATGAGTAAATGACATAGAGCACAAACAAAGGCTTTGATCCACAGTTCATATGTCATTTACAGCAAGTATTTCCCGATAATCTGTTCTAAGCAGTTATGTTAAGCTTGAGAATTACACAGATGCTGGCAGTCCATTCTTAGGCTTCGAGCTGAGAGTGAAAAGAGCAGTTTGCACTAGCTGTTTACCATATATCTGAAAATACTATTTGTGGAATTTGATAGAGGACTTGTGACAGTAACAATTTCACCTCATTCTTTGTTCTCACAACCGTACCATTATTTAAGAACTAAACAACGAGTGGGAGTTGTTTATTGTACAATAAAACACTTCAGGGAGGATAAACCATAATAGAACAATGTATTATCATGAACATCGATCCTAGCAACTGGGATACAATCGCATTCAATCAACCAAATCACTGAGTCTGATTTAATGATTGACATCATGAACATCAGTCAACCCAAATGGGATACAAGGACATTCAACAAATCAAATCACTGAGTCTGATTCAATGATTGACATCATGAACATAAGTCAACGCAAATGGGACAAATGGCATTCAACCAACCAAATCACTGAGTCTGATCCAATGATTGACATCATGAACATCGATCCAAACAACTGGGATACAATGGCATTCAATCAACCAAATCACTGAGTCTGATCCAATGATTGACATCATGAACATCGATCCACACAACTGGGATACAATGGCATTCAATCAACCAAATCACTGAGTCTGATCCAATGATTGACATCATGAGCATCAATCAATGCAAACAGGATATGATGACACGCAATCAACCAAGTCACTGAGCCTGACCACCTGATCCATTCAGTCACCTCTTACGACAAGTAAAAAGGGTGCATGGGACCTATATTCTTACCCGGAATCCCCACAAGTCCTTAAAACAAGAATGGGATACTGAGGATCTATTCTGCAAAAGAATCCCCCTGGGTTATTAATGGTGGGTTGCTTATTACTAAGACATAGAATGAGGTTAGCCTGCTGCAAAGACTGACCTGTGGTTCCACTGGTGTAGCATATGATGCACAGGTCATCTGGGGTCGCAGGCTGCAATACAACAAGGTCCAAATTATGCTTGTTAAAATAAAACTGTTGGTTCTCATGACCTATCCACTGATTAAATTGCCCTGTCCATTGTATTCTAAGATTGTTAAGCACTGTTTAGAAACAACTTTTCAAATCAAATTTCATTTTTACACCACATTAGGAATGGTAGGTTTAAAAAAATTAAATAAAAAATGTATTTTAAGCCTTATTACCTAGTTATATCATTGGGTGTGTCATGACCGAATCACCAGTAGATTCCAAGAAAACGTGTGTACAGCTGATTGCTGTTTCCAGCTTAGTTTACGAGAAAATAGACAACATAATCTTAATCCCTGGATGTAAAACAATGCCTATCAGAACAAAAAATACAATTTAAACGGTAAATCAACATGTCTGGTGATTTTTTATCTTCAATTTCGAATTTCTACTGACCAAGTTTCTCATCACCCGTTCGTTTACCGGGATTCGCTGGAGGGGTAGATATACGGTGTAATTTTTTTCTGCACTTGATGTTCTGATTTTTTTCTCTCCAAAATACTGAATCCGCTAGAGGGGGATGCGCATTATACATAGGTGCGTAGAGAAAATGCATCTAATGCAAAATCTTGAAAATAATTGGTTTAGAATATCAATCAGTAAATATTTGTTATGAACCAAATGACATTTTCCCAAATGATCAATCTGTACTAGTACTATTGATAAACCTAAATAAACAGTGTGACCCTATTCAGTCCTGGCTTGTATAGTTGCTCCTTGACAGTATTGTAGCAAGGTAATGGTTACATGTTTAGGTTGTTTCCTACACTCACTCCAGTTTTTTGCCTGTCAGCTTCATGTGGGAGGAAGCCTGAAGTGATTCAGGTCTTAGACATACCGTATTCGACATAATAAGCGCCTTGGGCGCTCTCAAAGTTAGAAATAGGGGGCTCTTATTAGAATATTATTTTGGTGAAAAACAACAGAGTTGAAAGATCGTAAATTTCGTGGTTTATGCTAACAGCCTGAAATGTTTATATACGACAGATATATTTTTTCCAGAATTTAATTTCCCATAATTATGGATGCATATAACATGCGTATTATACACGAATAATTGACATTGATCAATCGGAAGGGGTGCTAATTGGGATTGTACGCTAGCCAATATATTAGAAAATATCGCAGTGGGCGCTTATTAGAGCAGGGTGCTTATTACGTCGAATACGGTATACCACTTTGATTAAACCCATTAGCATGGGTATGGTGCTGACAAACCAAGAATCATAATCAGGATGAAACCACGTTTATAGCCTAAGGGATGCAACTCTGAACAGCAAATTGAGGTGCCTTAGAGGACTGGGCCCATCAGATCATAGATAGGGGTGGACAAAGTTTGGCTTGGAAGACAGTATCAAGCGCTTATCTTCATTTTTTCATTATTTCATCATTTCACTATACCGTATATGGGTCCTAACTTTACAAGCGAATTGAGATGGCTTAGAGCGATTGGGCACTTTAAGCCCATTCTGTCCTATGAACCACTATTGCGTCTAGTTGTAAACAATGTCATTTTCTGTGAATATTTATGTTCATCTTTTTCTTTCATTTTTTTATTTTCTGGCATACATAGATACAGTCTGCATCTTTAGCCACTAAATGGCACTAAATTCAACTGAAAATGATGCTAGAGACAAGTTGGATCGAAGTCGACTCAAAAGTTCTTGGCACAGGCTGTAAAATTCTAATGCACAGAAAGCTACACAATCATGAAAACACAAAGATGTTGATTTTTTAAAAACTTTTAAAGTTGTTGCTTCTCTATCAGCATGATCTGGGTGAAAATAGGTCAACACCACCAGACCACTTCTCTTTATCTGATCTAGGGGGCATGGGTGGCACAGTCGTCTAAAGCGTTGCGTCCCTTGAGCACGCCCAAAACCTATGATTGTGGGTTCGAATCCCGGTTCGCCCCGATTATGTTTCTAGGTTTGTCAGCACCATACCTGTGCTCGTGGGTTTCACCGAAGTGGTAAACGTCTGAGACCCACATCACTTCGGGCTTTCCCCCCACATTAAGCTGACACGCCGCGATATAACTGTAATACTGTTAAAAGCGGCATTAAACCCAACTCACTCACTTTATCTGAACTGAAGGCTGTTGCCGTTCAATGAGGATCACATGTATTTAACTGCAGGACAAAACCTGAGATTAAGTGTTTCATCTAAATTAGAAAAACAGAAACCTAAAACAAAATCTATCAACATTTTTACACTTCAAACATACTTTCCATGAACCTTAGGAAGTGGGCGTAAAATATCTGTTGCTGGTGTACAGTACTTAAAAAAGACATTCTTTAAAGCATTGTGATTTATCAATGCGTCTGTAGCCTAGAGGTACACTCACTGGGCTACAGATACGAAGGTTGTGTGGTCGATTCACGGAAATATAAAAAAACATTTGTCATTTGATTTTACATTTCATTACATTGTGTTCAAATGCAAAATAAATTTCCAGTGAGCAACATTCATATGTTACAATATAAACTGAAGATGTATTAATAAAACTCTCTGTTTATAAGACTTAACCCGACTGGAGAACAATAGAATGACGTCACTGGAGGTTTATAAGTGCCCTTATCACAGACAAGTATGGTCTATTCATAACACTGGGTTACTCAGCACAGATATCAAGTATACAACTGTCTGTTTTCTTGTACAAATACTGTGGCCTACAACTGATAAAGAGTTGTTATCAGTACGCTCAAAAAGCCGGTCACATGACATCAGGCCACTGTGAGGAGAGACAAAGTACATCATGACATTCGCTGTCACTTGCCTACCTCTCTGTATTCTGTATAAACCCATGTTCAGGTTCTACTGCACCCAAAACACCTTGTATTATGTGAGGAAAAGGGAGAGAGAGAGAGAAGCAGGAAAGAGGGAGAGAGAGAGAGAGGGAGAGGGAGTAGGATTGGGAGAGGGAGAGAAGAGAGGAGAGGTGAGGTGAGGTGAAATGGGGTTTAACATCGCATATAGCATATAGCGACGTGCATGCACGTGTATGTGTGTGTGTGTGGCTGCTTGTACTAGTCCGGACTGATTTATAGTGCCAGCACACTGAGATACCATGCCGCAGTTTAACATGAATACCCCACTCAGACACAGTATACTGACTCCGAGCCGACCAGTCCTTGTTTTAGCCCCCTAATGCCGAGCGCCAGACAGGGTAACAACAAGTACCATCTTTTAACGTCTTTTGGTATGACGCGGCTGGGAATCGAACCCCGGACCTTCCACTCTCCGGGCGGACGCTCTGCTATTAGACCACAGAGGCGGTCGAGAGAAGAGAGGGAGAGGGAGGGAGAGGGGAGAGAGAGGGGGAGAGGGAGAGAGGGGTCATTGAGGTTTGCTTCTATAATATTCGACAACAGGACCCCTAAATATTTTCCTTCTAACATTAGGGTTTTAACAAGGACACCTTGACTTTCGTGCCTAATCTAAACACTGATGATTCATTTCAATAGTTTGATTTCAGGTGAAAACTATAATTCCGTCAGTTGTGAGACATATGGATACTAAATCCTTTGTTTTCTCACAAGTGACATTTCCTTTTCTAAAATACTCCACTTCAAAACATCTGACAGAAAAGTTAATACAAGCCGATGCTATTTCAATAATCTGTTGGCCGAACACCGATTTGTCGTGATACGTGATGCAAGACCCAGAACAATGTCAGCATGCTTCACCATTTTATCAGGCAAAACTTTAAAGATTATCTAATCTACTGGTCATAGGGTGTGATCATAGGCTGTCTCTACAGGTGACCTTCACCTTCACCTTCAACTCCAACAGCAAACTTGACACTGGCTCTAGAATGTCTAGGTAATGTCAAGGTAATCTGAAGCTGCCTGTGTTCCTTTTAAAATAGTAAGCATTTGTAAGTGCAAATGAACTAACCTTTGGTGTTTGAGGGTTATCTTGGCCCAATTTCTGGAAAAAACAATGGACTGCATTTTAAAACCATCTCCTATCAAATGGGAATAAACACATACTTTGAAGCTGATAAAAATTAGAAACTCATACAGCCTGTGAAGTGTTGTGGCAACACAGCTTTGTTTGTTAGTCTGTTGATTTAACATCGCAGTCAGTGGTCTGTAAATAATTAAGTCTGGACCAGAGAATCCAGTGATTAACAGGAGCATCGATCAACACAATTGGGACACGATGACATGCATAAACCAAGTCAGCGAGTCTGACCACCTGATCCCATTAGTCACCTCTTATGACAAGCATAGTCACCTGTTATGGCAAGCATGAGTTGCTGAAGACCTATTCTACCTGAAATATTCAGGTTTCAAGGGGCAGTCTTATTCGTACAGTGCACATTATGTTTGTCTGCAACATTAGCCACCAATCTGATATCAGGGTCAAGTTTAATTTCTCTTTGATTAATAAGATGATATGCATCAACCATGCCAGCGAGCCTGACCACCCGATCTCGTTAGTCGCCTCTTACGACAAGCATGGGTTGCTGAATACCAATTCTAATCCGGATCTTAACGGGTTGGCTACACTGCAGTAGAAAGTATCTCACCTCTACATCTGCCAACTGATGTAGCTTGACTCCCAGGGAGGTGGCCTTGGTCTGCATCTCACCATTCATTTCCTCCATCACGATGATGTGCCGGATGTTCTTTGTTTCTTTGTAACGATCTAACAAGTTGCTAACTTTCTTGTTTGTATCACAGAGTACTGCACTTATTTCAGCTGAAACAGAAATGAAAATGAGAAAAGCAACAAACGCAAATAAGTTAATAAATTCTACAGTTGTGAAAGACAAAGCTCAACAACATCTTTTATTTATATTAGAATAAGTGAGTTAAATATTATGCAGATTTATGCACAATTCCAATCAGTTGAGATTCGAATCAATTCTTTACTTTCTTACTATGAGGTACAATGATGGGGAGGAGGTACCTTGGTTGATGATGAAGTTGCAGGCCTCGACACCCAGAGTGTCGTACAGTGGCACGCCCACCATGGAATATGTGTAACAGGCCTGCTCAAATATCACATACTGAAATGTACAACAGAGACAATATCACATACTGAAATGTTCAACAGGGACAATATCATATACTGAAATGTACAACAGTGACAATATCACATACTGAAATGCACAACAGAGACAATATCACATACTCAAATGTGAACAGTGACAATATCACAAACTGAAATGCACAACAGTGACAATATCACATACTGAAATGCACAACAGAGACAATATCACATGCTGAAATGTACAACAGTGACAATATCACATACTGAAATGCACAACAGAGACAATACCACATACTGAAATGTACAACAGAGACAATATCACATACTGAAATGTATAACGATGATAATTAACAACCAAATACATGGTGTTTGTTGTTTAACGCCACACTCAGAAATATCTCAGCTGTATGACAGCAGCCTGTATATAATTGTGTCTGGACCATACAGTCTAGTGATTGACATTGTTAGCAGCGATCCATGCCATCAGGGTATGAAGACACACAATCAACCAAGTCACCGAGCCTGACAACCTGATCCATTTGGTCACTTCTTACCTATAATCCCCATGGGTCCAAATACATGGAACAAGTGTCGTAAGGTTAAAGCACTGCCACAGAGCACAGTTTGCTATTGCACATAAACTTCAGTCTATGGTTTGCACATAATTTACACATTGTCTCAATATTACAGAACTTAATGATATCATCACAATCACTTTCAGTTAAAGCGTGAGTGAATGAATTGTGTTTAATGACGCTTTCAACAGTATTTCAGTTATATCACAGTGTGTAAGCTCTTAGGAAAGCCCGAAATGATGCAGGTCTCAGGTGTTTACAACTTTGGTGGTGAGTGAGTGAGTGGGGTTTTTACCACTTTGGAGAAACCCAAAACATGGGTATGGTGCTGACAAACTTAGAAACATGATCATGCGAACCAGGATTCACAGCACATTTGGACGACCTCAGATAACGTTTGACTATGCAAAAAGCAATCAATCAAATCTAGTGTAAGTCAAATCACCATGGACACTTGCGAAATACCTCAGTGCACCATGTGACAAAAGTAGAATGGAAAGCATGGAGACATGGACACCTTGACCTACCTCGGGTTTGTTCTGGGAGTAGATTCCAACATTGGTGCTATTTTTGGGTGAGAGGCCAAGCTTGATGAGTCCTGCACCTAGGTTAGCTGCTCGTTGTAGCACCTGCAATGTAAGGTCATGTTATCAAGGTCGACACATGTACCGATTCAAACTACGGAGCAACGCTTACTGAGTGAGTTGATTCTACGCTGCTTTTAGCAATATTCCTACAATATTACGGCGGAGACACCAAATATGGGCTTCACACTTCGTACCCATGTGGGGATTTGAAAAATCAAATTTGACAAATGAATTTAACCATGAGGCCACCCCAACTCCCCCACAACCTACTGGGCTACACCACTACAAGATGAGTCACTGCACTGAGCAAGTTCGTATTTGAGTTATGTACTGGTATGTTCATGTAATTGGGAGGGAAAAGTGTGGCTTCCACACATCAGTTTGTCTTGTACTCTGCACCCTGTATAAGCAATAATTATACACAATGCGATGCCCATGCAATGCAATCAGGTAACTGCCTGAAAACATCTACTGAGCTCAATGATTGGTTCATTTTGCCAGTAGTAGCCAAGATGCATATTTCCATGCCATTGCCAAAACATGGCCCGATGGCCATATTATATCACAAGTTGTTCACAATGGACTGTGCTACCTACTTCATCATAGTTGATCCACTTGTACGGCTCTGTAGGTGAGGGCTTCCATCCGAGACACGGGCCATTATCTGATAAACAGAACAAGTGAAGCTGGGTATCAGAGGTAGCAGTTTATCAATATCTGAACATAAGTCAGTTCATCAAACATACACCAATGACAATATTACAATAATTTATGTATATAAACTAGAAGTGATATTTACATCAAACATTTATCAGAATTTCTTCGACATGTTCTTTTATAGTTTGTTTGTTTGTTTCTTGTTTAAAGCTGCATTCAGAATGCTCAGCAATATTCAAGCTATATGATGGTGGCCTGTGAAAAAAATCAAATCAATCCAATGATTGATATTATGAGCAACAATCCATGCCTTGGGTATGGGGTCACGCAATCAACCAAGTTACTGAGTCTGATGACCCAATGCATTTGGTTGCCTATCATGAACAACATAGGGTGCTGGGGACCAATTCTAACCCAGTCTCACAAACATTAAATAGTGATATTGATATGACATCTTGTTACTGTCACGTCAATCAATATCCAAAGAAATGAAACAAGAAACAATTAATTGTGAAATGTGATATAACTCAGTATCTTAAGCATACAATGAGGCTCAAGCTCAAGCTACGCGGATGCATACAGTTTGCACGTCGGCTTTTCGATGTATACCTCAATGAACCGAACAAAATACACAGTCAATCCTTAAAAGTATTATCTTGTAAGACAGGCCCCTCCTGACCTTGTCCTTCAACAATACTTGGTCCTAACATCAGTTCAAGGTCATCATCATGTGAACATTCATCTGACTAATGTTGATATGCTGGCTTATCAAGTTGTAACATATCTTCCATACCAACACACTCTCTTGTCTGCTAGTTTGTTGGTACAGATTATTATTCACATGGTCCTGTGGTTGACACATAAGATGTAAACTGAATTTGGTTCTTTTCCTTTAATATGTTTCTTCATGAAAATCACCCCTTTTTAAAAAGCTCAATAGTGTATGATCAGCTGATTTAAATACATGAAGGTCAATTACTTTACCTAATATATAACCCATTAATACTACTATTTCTACTACGAACAAAAATAATAAAATAAATATGTAGTTTTCCAATAAGTTCATACATGTTGATGATTCACAGTATGCAACATATGCATGATACAAAAAGATGTGACTTATTAAAACCAATAATTGAAAAGCGTGATGTCACTACTGTAGCTAGCTGCAGTCGACAGACAACATGTCATTTCAGTGTAACATATGGTTCAACATTCACTAGAAAAACATGAAATGTGGTCATTAGCATATATAAATGAACTCAAGGCAACAGATTCTTAAAACTTATGCTAGCAGCTTATCTCAATTTCAATTCGTAGTATCATGTCTTCACTAGAGCATGGTCAATATATCATAACGAGGGTTGTGTTGGAGACATATCAATGTTTGTTAAATGAAAAGATGACCACCCAAAATGTATTCCCTTATCTCTCATACAGACCCTGAAACAAAAATAACGAAACCTTCCCAAGCAAATCTATAATACCGTATTCGACATAATAAGCGCTCAGGGCGCTCTCAAAGTTAGAAATAGGGGGCTCTTATTAGAATATTATTTTGGTGAAAAACAACAGAGTTGAAAGACCGTAAATTTCGTGGTTTATGCTGACAGCCTGAAATGTTAATATGCGACAGATATATTTTTTTCAGAATTTAATTTCCCATAATTAAGAATGCATATAACATACGTATTATACACGAATAAATAAGTCATGTGTACATTGATCAATCAATATATATGAAAATATCGCCGTGGGCGCTTATTACGTCGAATACAGTACTTTGGCAAGCCTAGAGTTTTAAGGGTTTTTTTAAATGAAGATTCTATGGGCTCCTTAAATATATGACAATTCACAAAGAAATATTTTCATTTCAGAGACTAAGTGTTTGTCTATGTTTTCCCCTTTTGGACATGGTAAAAATTATCAAAAATTTTATCAAACTGTAAAAAAAACTGTCTGCTTGCTCCAGGCCCCTGACCCTACAAATGTAACCACCCGTCCAATAACAGCCTGTTTTGGGTGACAAGTTTCCACCAATCTGGTTAAAATTACTGGTATTGTGTTCCCTATCCCCTGCTTGGGACACATCACTACTGAGAATAACACATTCTGACTTAATTTGTGATTCCGCTTTTGCCACAGGCTGCTATACTCCTGCTTATATATGACCCTATCTTTACATGGTATTTAGAAGCCGCAGTATCCATGAAGTTTAATTATGGATTTCAACTTCTTATATAATCTATATTCTTTCAGCGTGTGTTTTCAATACAGGTGCTTGTGACTTTATCAAGCAAGCACATGTATTATAGAAAAGGAAATCTAGAAGTAAACATTTTTCAAGAAATGGCCCATTCATAAATGCATAGAGTTTCCAACACTGCTTATTGCAGCAGTCCCAGATCCACCATCTGGACAGTGGGAACCTTTTCTATAATCTGTTCTATATACTAGGGCTGGGACGAGTCCAAATTTACTACCCGGGTACCCACCCCCCTATTACCCGACCCTACCCGGGTACCCACTGTAGGTCTAAGGGGATGTCTCAAAATGTCCGACTGGGAACATTTTTAGAATAGCCCTGGCAAAACGTATTTGGATACATGTATTAAACAACCTGGTCATTCGTACACTGAAGTTGAATTCAGTTATATCTTTATTCAACCATATGAAAAATCAGAAGGAATGGATGCATAGTCAGAAAGAAATGCATACATTAGTGACTTGTAGTGTAACCATAGAGTTCTAGATAACTTTTATCAATCATCAACATATCACGTGACTAACCACGGGTCCGGGTAGTCCTGTGGGTACCCGGGTCCTCCTTAGTACCCACCCTACCCAGGCACCTGAGTTACCCGTCCCAGCCCTACTATAGACTATAGTGAGTGAGTCGAGTCCATATGACGCTACTTTGAACAGTATTACAGTTTAATGTGGGAGAAAAGTCCAAAATGAAGACGTGTACCACTTTGGTGAAACCCATGTGCATGGGCATGGTGCTGATGAACCTCGAAACATAATCAGGGTTAACCAGGATTCAAACCCACAATCATAGGTTTCGTGCTTGATAAGGGGACTCAACTCTGCATAGCATTTTGCTTCGCCTTAGATGACTGGGCCCCCTCTTACTATAATGTGAGGTGAAATGGGGTTAAACATTGCGTTCAAGAATACTGCACATAAATGGTGATGTGCATACCCACCATGCGTGTTGCTGCTTATATTACTGATACCCCACTCAGGCACAGTATACTAACTCCTAGCTGACCATTCCTTGTGTTATCCCCTTAAAGCTGAGCGTCAGACACAGTAACAAGTACCTGTGGCCAGGGATCGAATCATTGACCTATTCTATGGTATAAGCTATGAGAACACAACAAGTGTACATACTGGAGAGTCTTGCTCCTCTCTTGAACACCTCATGCAGGGTTTTGGCATCTTCAGTCTTGTACTCGAGCAGCTTACCATCTTTACACAGGCGGGAGATACGAGCACGATCTTTGCCCTGAAACACAGACGGACGAAAGACTTAAGACAATCTGACATTTGACATCATTCACATCTGTGTCCATACATGACAAAAGAGTCTGTGACCTTAGCAACCAGTCTGCAGCCTTATAACCAGTCCATGCCTTAAACTACTGAGCCGACTGTACCAACCTGACATGTGCCCAATGGAGTGATTCTTAGTAGATGCTATTGTGTTTGTTTGTTGTTTAACGCCACACTCAGCAATATTCCAGCTAAATGCCGGCGGTCTGTAAATAATCAAGTCTGGACCAGACAATCCAGTGATTGACATCATGAACATCGATCCACGCAATTGGGATCGATGGCATGCATCAACCAAGTCAGCCAGACTGACTACCTAATCCCGTTAGTCGCCTCTTACGACAAGCATAGTCGCCTTTTAAGGCAAGCATGGGTGGCTTGAGACCTATTCTACACCGGATCTTCACAGGTCAGATGATATTGTGAGGTGAAAGGGAGTTTAACATCACATAAAAGGACACTGCACTTATACAGCGTTATATGTGTTCATGGCTGCTTGTACTAGTTCGGACTAATGCCAGTTTTATTGTGCTAGCCCACTGAGATACCATGCCACAGTTTGGATAACCTACTTGGGCACATTCTACTGACTCCAAGCTGACCAGTCCTTGTTTTATCATCTTAAACCCGATCACAAGGCATGGTGACAAAAAGTACCATTGTTTTACATCTTTTAAATGACGTGGTCAGTGAGTTGTTTCACCAAGTTTCCGCTGTCTGGCAGACCTTCTATCCACTAAACCACTAAGGCTATCTTGTTGAGTGCACTACACCTACGGACAAGTGGCTGAAGTTCAGACTGAGAAACATCTCTGTCTGGTATGCTCGGCAAATGAAGGATCAGTTACTGGTATCAACAATATTAAATATATTAAAACAAATGTTTTTAGAACAGACTGCGTAATAAATATTACTGCCTGTAATCACTGTTCAGAGTACAACTCCTTAGGTTAATTACCTGTTTTATTAAAATTGTGAAAACAATATATTGTCATCTCAATGAAATAAAACATTTCAGTGAGTGAGTATGGTTTTACGCCACTTCTAGCAATATTCCAGCAATATCACGGCGGGGGACACCAGAAATGGGCTTCACACATTGTACCCATGTCGGGAATCGAACCCTGGTCTTCGGCGTGACTATCGAACACTTTAACCACTAGGCTACCGACAGCCCCTAAAACATTTCAAGATCCAATTGAACATGCTGAGGGATAGTCACAATGTGTAAATGAACACAGGTTCTCTATTTAGTCCACTATTGTTCTGGTCTAAGCTCCTTTATCACTAACCATATGATACATCATACAGGAAAAGAGTACATTGAAAATACATGTAACATGCAAATTGTGGTCACAGTGGAAAAAAAAGACAAGTTAAGGAATATCATTTTGAAATATAGATATCTTTGCACTTCATCCTGGTTAAATAAACTTACATCTAACAGATGATCACAAAACTTACAGCCAACAGAGCATCACAAAACTTACAGCCAACAGAGGATCACAAAACTTACAGCCAACAGAGCATCACAAAACTTACAGCCAACAGAGCATCACATAACTTACAGCCAACAGAGCATCAAAACCTAAGAGAGGATCACGCAACTTACATCTAACAGAGCATCACATAACATACAGAGGATCACACAACTTACAGCTAACAGAGCATCACATAACTTACAGCCTACAGAGGATCACAAACCTTACAGCCAACCGAGGATCACAAACCTTACAGCCAACCGAGGATCACAAAACTTACAGTATGCCAAATCCCCCAAAATACTGTTATGATAATTCAACATGCTTCAAGCAGACAAAATACAAAATCTTTCTTCTGCAAGGAATGCATGATTAAATTTTATAATTGGTCACAGCCTGTGCATGTTGAACTTGTTCAACAGGTTTACAACACACATTTATAATGCACTAAGACAGATCCTGGAATGCATGACATGATAAAAGCTCATATTTACATACAACTCAGATGATCAATTATACCATTCAACCACAAAAGATGACTATTTTGGTCCTCAGCTAATGCTGGGTCCTACAAAAAACATAACCACAAAACATGTCATCATGTTTAACAAGTTATCATTACAATAAAAAAACATAGGTTTCATGATACTGTCCATGACGAGGACTCCTACCACATCCTCATAGTCTAGTTAGTGATATGCAGGGATTGACTTAGGCCGCAATTCCGCGAATTTCTCACATAGTTGTCATAGATATCGCATTAACATTAATTCAGTGCGACTGAAAATAGCGTTTTATCCGCATTGACACTCTCAGTTTCACCTACAAACATCGGAACTGTCATATTGCTTGAATAAAATTATCTACCAGGGATAATTCTAGGCCCACATTTTCAAATACATTGAGGCATTTTAACATTGTGCTGTATGGGCGTACCTTGGGAATATTTGAAATTTACACATGAAGGGCCCATGTCAGAAAATCCCTTGAGTGAACCCTGATCTACTGTATCTAAAAATGTAAATAAAAAACTTACTCGATAGTTTCTTCAATCGTCAAAAGTTGTTAATCGAAACACTCGCAACACTGCATGCCATCTCTTACTGTGCTTTAATGATTCCTATAGCACTGCATGGAGCTTTGCACTACATTTTTTTATACTTGATTGTCAAGTCATATTCTGTAATCTACAACAAATCATTAGCTGTATTTTTTGTCACGTAAATCTTAGCAGAAATCAAAGATGTACATGTATCTGCATCCGTGCAGAAATCAAGAGAAAAAATGCAATCACGGGTAAAGTTTCAAAACACAAGCAAATTTCAAGTTTGGAATGACAAAACCAAACCTAAATGAATATGCATACAACTCTTTCTCCCTAAGAATATACAAATTTCAGATCACAAACGATCGTATTTTAGATGAGATTCGCCTAGACTTTAGATAAGACAACACTGGTTTTCATGAACGTATACCCTCTTGAGAAAAGCCAACGTGCATGAATTACGTATGAATTTTAAACTATTTCTAGTGGCCAAACAGCAAGTTGGAGATTTTTTAGAATACACTAAAATATGGTTGCTTCCAGCATATGTCCAGATTTGTCCATATTTATTGAAAACTGACTTAATCATTCAAATGTAACTCATAAACATTGTGAATGTCAACAATCTTTTCAACGGTCTGACACCCGGTTTTTGATACAGTACACACTGCAGACACTAGAAGACAGTGAAATTGAAGATCGCATTGGAATGTAAACTATAAATGTTTTGCCAGCCAAATGTAACACCATTTACAACTGTCGCTATTTCATGTCATCGCTTTAAATATATTAAATTATGATCTTAACAGACACTGTTGAAGACCTATAAATTGTTTGTTACCCCGCATGTCAATGAAATGAACAGCTGATTGTGGTAAACATGCCTTATCAATAATTATTTATATAATTCCTCCTAAAGTCGACAATGAACTGAAATACATAAATATTAATGTATTTTCTCCTAAAGTAGACAATGAACAGAAATATAAATACTAATGCATATTTTTGTTGATACTAATGCTAATATTTTTAAATATTCACTGTGGAATAATTAATGTTCGAAAATATCAGAGGATGTATCTATATAATTTAGTAACATAAATTGCAACATAATTCGAGTCACAAATACCGAATACCGAATACCAAATACAGTTTCCATTCCAGGAAGACAAAATGTCTCTGAAAATTTGCAAAATCTCATCACACACCAAAAAATCTCATTGCGTTTAGACCAGGGGAGATTTTCTCTCATAGGTAAAACATTCAGGGTTAATCCTTGGATATGAATCAGCACCTAGTATTCAAAACTGTGTACACAAGGATGCACAACCAACTTACTCCAACCTCCTGAGACTGGTAGGTGAACTCTACACTCGGACGAAATCCGAAAGTGATGTTATGGGATCCCTTGGCACCCATGACAACAATCAAAGCATTTCTACTCACAACTACACCCTCAATACGTTCATATTCCCTCCAGTCATGTGACTAGCAATGGCCACTCAACCATATCACTGTTTACTATAGCATCAGGACTACTGCGAACATGGTGAATGAACAGCAGGGACACATGACAGGTGTTTACAAGGAAGTGGCAACATACTCATCAACTCATCAGTTCATACCCATGACCACCATCAATAATAGATGACATCAATCTTTATCGGACAGCTTCACAAGCTGAGCAGCCAATAAGAAAACCCTGATAGGTCAGTCAGGGCATACTTACGGGTATTTCCGCGGACTGTTTGTCCATATCCACTGCAAACTTGACATGGTCTGGTCGAGTGTAGTAGACAGCAGCTGTGGCCAGGGCACCGACAGTGACGGCACCGGCCCCTGCCAACTTCAGGTAGTCCAGACTCGTCATCGGCATACAGTCTGGCAATATACAACAACAGAAAACCTATAAATAGCTGGCATGTGAATCTGGCCTTCATGGACAAAGTACTACCAGGATCAATATAGAGTATTGATTGCCTTTATGGACAGGTAGCAGTGGGCTGGCATAGTTATGTGTTGACTGACAACGGCATTAGGGCAGGCAATGAGATTAATTGGTAAAGCTAGTTAATGCCAGGCATGTGACGTTTTGGGGAAAGAAAAACTACACGAAGACAGTGTGTTCAGGAATGAAATGAGAAATGGTTTCAGTATACCAGGCACTGGATTTGGTTCAACTAAGCTTCCTTATTTGTAAGTGACTGACCAATTGAAATATCGATATATTTTTTTAATTGAAACTTAGGTTGAATATTTTTTAAAGTGAAACACCTTGCAACGTTATTTCTATAAAGTCCCAGGCTCTCCCACCCCCATAATATCAAATGGTCAGTCTCTAACCCTCCTGTACTTTGCTTAAATAGCTGAACAACTTGCTTGTGGAGCTGGGTTCAAGCAGTGCATCAAAGGCTCCTTGTCGTAACCTTAATGCTAAATGTTACAAATTTAGGAGTCCCTTGATTCAAATGCTATACAGGAGAAAACCTCAAGGACCCTAAGATTCCCTTAACTTCGAACACTTTCATGTCAACACAATCTGATACGACACCTCCCTGCATGAAGATCTCAGGACAACTCTATTGAAGGTCGAGTCAGGTGAACGTTCTAATCTTCCAATCAATGTGAAGGCTTCTAAATTCTTTGTTATGAGTGAGCGAAGCATTGAGACAAGCAGATCTGATTTCTGTATCTCAGAAGTTCTGACTGAAAAAACCAAAGCTGGGCTATTATATTGTTTTAGATATTATACACATCCTGTCATTTCTGAGCTCCAGCATCTACACTGCAAAGGGTGTACTATCAAGGGTGTATTTGAGTTCTGTGGCAGTTGTCTTTTTCTGATAATGACCATAGAGGTAGTTTGTTTGTTTGTTGTTTAATGCCACACTCAGCAATATTCCAGCCATATGACGGCAGTCTGTAAATAATTGAGTCTTGACCAGACAATCCAGTGATTGACATCATGAAATGCATCATCAAGACAGCGAGCCTGACCACCCGATCCCGTTAGTCGCCTTTTACGACAAGCATAGTCGCCTTTTACGGCAAGCATGGGTACTACCCCCCAATCCCCAGATCTTCACAGGTCCCATAGAGGTGGTAAAGAAATGATTCCTGATAGTCAAAGAAAACAGACATTTGATTGGCTAAAGAAGAACCCATTCATCCTTTGTTTAGACTGGGTGGTCAAAGTTCATGACATTCTATTGAAGAGTCTTCAGATCTTGACGCAGAGAGGTATCTTATGGGAGTTAAAGATAAGATTGTTAACATTTATTCGAAAAATAAATATAGGGTTTGTCAACTTCGGCAAAAATGTTGATTATTCCCAACACTAACTAGCTCAATGCTAGAAGGTATCCTTCGGTGAAGTAGCACTTCTTAGTCTGAATAGATGGCTTTAACATTACTTTGGCTAATGTAGAGAAAATGTTTTTATATTTCCTTCGTTTTCCATCACCTATATCTTTAACCCATAATATAACTGGATCATTTACCTTAAAATTTAAAAAAACATTCATGAACAAACCCTCTGTTTTTCATACAGAAAATATGCTAATACCCTTATTCATTAATCAGAAACAAGCAATGGATATTTTCCCAAATAAAATAGTTTAAACTTATAAGGGTTAAAAGAATCCTTTGCTGGTGTTTCGTAAAATTTTTTTTACAATTGACATCATGTACATGTATATCTCCTGAAGTGGGCCAGATAAACACAGGTGTATTCTTACAACTCTGGATCAGGTTTCATGCAATTCAAGCAACAACAAAGAAATGTTTTGTTCAACTTAAAAAATGCAAAAGACATGAAGCACCTCTAAAATCATTGTCCATGTATTACAGTCCGGGACAAACTGACATCTACACAAAAGGATTGCTTCTATCTGCCTTAATATGCTCTTAGAATAGAATTTCACATATATGCAAAAGAGTTAGATCTGTGAACTGGTTCAGGCAAGTAGGGGAAGATATAGGTGACTCTTTCTATAATATACACTGTGATATAACGTAAAACTGTGACTTCAAACACAATCTCATTTCTGCTTGATACCTATGAGAGCATTGAGTATTCTTTTAGCCATTATACAGCTGTATTATCTCAAGGGACACCACAAATGGACTTCACACATTATAACCATGTGGGGGTCCAAACCCGTACCTTTGGTGTGACAAACAAATGCTTTAACAAAAAAGCTACCCTACCTTCCTATAAGAACAATCTTAAGCCTAGTTCACATGCACACACTTACCCAGGGCCAAGATGTACTCTGACACATGTCTGAGGAGTACATTTTTTCATATTAAACGTGTTTTTAAAATTTACTCTAGGGGGTTAAATATCCCAACTCCATAGGTGAAGCAAATTTCGTACTTGAGTTATTACAGTCTTAGATCCCCTTGTGAACAAGGCAAAAGTTTGTAACACAAGGGTAAATGTTACATCACATTCAGGGCAACATGATTATTCCTGATTCCATATTCCAGATCATGATTGAAACATGACAGATGTGTGGCTTACACTTATAAAAGTCATGGTACATCTGTGTCTGCTAGACATTGATCAATGAATATTCAAGAGGTGATAATACCCTACCAGCTGGTGACAAGGAGATTATGACACCAGGTGTCAGCTCACAAACTGCGAGTAGGCACTTTTGCCACTTTTACAAATATTCCTGCCATATCGTGGCGTGGGGGACTGTACCCAAGTGGGGAATGAGACCACTATGTTACCCCTCCACCTTCATTCGTTGAAAGCATTTTCCTTTCTTAGTATATTCTTTGACATTAAAAAAAATCAAGGCATTGCAAGAGTTTTTCCTTTTTTTTTAGTTTGTGTTGTAGATGTCATACATTGTCATTTTGCACAATAAACAACAGAGCAAAAACATTCTCTGCTGACTGTTTATTCTACAAACTATAAACAAATAAAGCATCCTACAAATAAACTATGAACAAAAAAACTATCAAAAACTGACTGTTTACTTTACAAACAACAAGACAAAAAGTGAGCGGGGCTCACTTGAACACCGACTTCGACTTCAACATATTCAAAACATGAGAAAAAAACACATTTTCTCAGGAAATCTACTTATAGAAATTAAACTTTTCACTGCACCTCTCCTTTTGGTATAGAAACTGTGCCACCAATTGGAAAAGAATCCATGAAGTAGTTTTTAATGTTTAGGTCGCACAAATGTATTAAGTAAAAAACAACTTTCAGAAAATCCAAATATTGAAATGAATTGTCGCACTTCACTCTCATATAAACATAAAAAGTGTTCACCAAGTTTGAAAAGAATCTATTCACTGGCTTTCAAGTTATATGTCGCACACAAAAATGTCCTCGGAAGGAAGGACAGACGGATGGACGGAAGGAATTCCTTCTTTTAACTATATACCCCTGCCCTTTTATGTCAAGGGGTATAAAAAAACTAAAAAAGCATTCTACAAATAAACTATAAACAAAAAAAACCCTATCCATTACAAACCAAGTGTTTAACAATCACAATCAAAATTGCAAAATCCTGATAATTACAAACACATATCTCACTTCAAACTACAAGACAAGGTCAACCAATAACACGTTTAGTTCAGATAGTATCTTCAGCATGTACTACAAATAAATCCAAGCTCCTAAACACCATGTCAAATTAAGATCATGGATAATCACTTTTAACTAAAAAATGTAAACACATTCAACAAACCTTTCTGATTTACTGTGGCACTCTACTCAATATTAGCACAATAAATCACCAACCAAGCACGACCTATCCCCAATGTTAGGCAGTCTGTTTACAGTTCCGTCTGTTTGTGTTAAAGGCACCAGGCAGAAGGTGTGAGCATGTCAGAAATCCACCTCTACCTCCAGGTAGCTGAATGACCACCAGGTACCAGAGTACGCTCCCTGGCCACAGGTGAGGTATGAACTTTGACCACCAAGGAGCAACCTACGTCACTCTCTAAATCACTCTGCCGGCCGTCACTGATTCTGGACTTTGATCAGTTGTTATGTAACTTGACCTGAAGGAGCCCCCGCTGTGGAGTACCTGAGACTAAAGTTCATAATAACATATGCAGGGCTCAGGGTTCCTTGTGAATAAAACTTTAAAGTTCCATGGTCTCAATGTGTTTATTATGGAGCCCTTAAAAAGGAGACTAAATATAAACAAATACATTTGTCCTATTAATTAATAATATAGGCTCTGACTTGATGGTAATCCTTAATCAAATAATTCTGTAATTAAATTTTAATTTTTAAGAGCCATGTTACAGATAGGAACTTGAAATACATGACCATTCCTTTCAAAAGTCATTCATATCAATCCAGATGTTCGAAAATTTGTTAGTGAATTAAAATTTAAAGATTTTTTTCAATCCAGCTGTTGATGATTACCCAAATCACACAGGGACTCAATCTGATTCAAGTCACTAAGTACAATGTCTAGATTGAGACCAACAATGGGCATCATCATATCATGGCCCATAGTCCCCCTTTCAATAGTAAACATGGTAAAGCTGGTTTGCCATTTGGACGAGTCTTGAGGTCCTTGAATTTGCTAACATACATGAATCTCTGGTTGCACCAAATTTTTTAATTAAGACATTAATGTGATGATGAGGAGCCCTCGACTTTCAGGTTAAATTTCAATCATTTGTAAAGGGCTTTGAGAGTTAGTCAAATACTACCAGTGATAAAATAAAGACTTATGCAGGGGCTTTTATCTTGTGTGTAGTCAGTCAATACATTAACAATTCATTGAGCTGGTTAAGTTTGTGACAATATAGACCGCAGAAAACACATTCAACTTACAGGGTTCATTTCAACATATGTACGTAAATGAGTAATCTTATTTCATAAATTATATGCTACATTAATTCAATATTGAAAACAAGAGGTAACTTTATCATGTTGACATAAGTTTGTTTGTTTCTTGTTTAAGACAGCATCCATATAATTTCAGTCTGTAAATAAGAAAATGTGGACCAGACAAACCAGTGATTGATATGAGCAATGACCCATACTGTCAGGGTACTATGAAACATAATCAACCAAGTCCCCTAGTGAGTGAGTGAGTTGGGTTTAACCTCAATTTGAATAGTATTCCAGTTATATCAGGACGTGTCAACTTAATGTTGGGAGGAAAGTCCGAATTAATGCAGGTCTCAGATGTTTAACACCTTGGTGAAACCTACAAGTGCTGACAAACCTAAAAACAAAATCAGAGCAAACCAGGATTCAAACCCTCAATCATAGGGACGCAACTCTGCACAGTGAATTGCAGTGCCTTAAAGTCACCTAGGAAGACATATAGTTGCCTTTTACCACAAGCATAGATTACCATTTTTTTCGTAAGCAATGAGCATGGTGAGCTGTGCTGTAATTGATGAAAAATAATCTCATGTCATAAAAACTACCATCCCAGAACATTTCCCAAGAAAAATACAAAATATATTCTCTATGTTTTAAAATAGACTAAAATGTTTGAAACACAGACATCAAACCCATTAATCGATAATGCGTTTGTTCACTGCCATGCTCCTTGCAATCACAGAGATAAAACCTTTGAACCAATACATATGATTGTTCTTGGACAATCAACACGGCTTGTTCAGGACTACAAACTGCTACTAAACAACACTTCACTGTATGCTCTGGGCACCTTGCTACACACGATACACTGGCCAATAAATGTCTATGAAATGAGACTCACACTTCGTCAGGTCCTTTAGGCAAAGCTGTTTTTTGTTTGGTTTACAATATTTACTTGTCCTCAGTATAATTTAGTTGTCTTGGGCTGGTGGACTAGCATAAATTTTTTCGGATCCAATTGAGTATATGTAGTACTCGATGATATATACTTCATGTCAAGCATTATACAGATCTGTGTCATGACATGGCTAGGTACATAAATTCCACATAAATCTCTCCTGTAGGGACATAAACTGACTAACATATCACTTGTTCTGCCTTCTGTGACACTGTGATAAACAATGTCATAGCAGCACCAGTTGGCAGTGGGCCATTCCTTCCAACATTGTTAATACATCTAAACCATACACCACATACAACAGGCTACAATGACATACTTCTCCTAGTCTTGGATCAAGGGGACAAAGGTTTATAGTGTAGCGACAACAAGGTTCTTTTTATGTATTTTTTTAGTTCCCATATGATTAAACGTTTTGCACAGTTGTAGCACATTTAGGATGCAGTTTCTGAAAACAGGTTGACCTTTATATTTTTGTAACATCAAAACTTTTGAGTGAGTAAGAAAGTGAGTGAGTTAAAATTTAAAGTCACAATGACAGTATTTCAGCAAAAATTAAGTCACCATACTAGGGACCTTTGGGACTTACGGTACCTCTGCTACGCGCATTGTACACCATCCCTCCAGCAATTGTTTTGTTTGTTTGTTTGTTGTTTAAGGCTGCACTCAGCAATATTCCAGCTATATGACGTCTGTCTGTAAATAATCGAGTCTAGACCAGACAATCCAGTGATTGACAATATGAGCATCGATCCACGCAATTGGGATCGATGACATGCATCAACCAAGTCAGCGAGTCTGACCACCTGATCCCGTTGTCGCCTCTTACGACAAGCATAGTCGCCTAACAGCGATTGTTAGCAGCAAAAGTTGGGCCACCATACTAGGGTTGGTTGGTTGGTTTGTTGTTTTACACCGCAGTCAACAATATTCCAGCTATATGACAGCGGTCTGTAAATAATCAATGATTGATATCATGAGCATCGATCCACGCAATTGGGATAGATGACATGCATCAACCAAGTCAGCAAACCTGACCACCCGATCCCGTTAGACGCCTCTTACGACAAGCATAATCGCCTTTAACGGCAAGCGTGGGTTGCTGAAGACCTATTCCGGCCCAGATCTTCACGGATCACCATACTAGGGACCTTTGGGTTTTATGGAACCTCTGCTACGTGCATTGTACATTACCCTCAAGCCGCCAGCTATTGTTAGCAGGTTAAGCGGAAAATTAAAATGAATAAATACTCTACATTTAAAAAACATGATAGATATAAACATTCTTTGAATGACATGGTACAAGAATGCTGAGGCATTGAGGCACTACCATGAGAATGTCTTGGTTAATGTATCTTTTAAAATATTAAGATAAAGAGGCAAAGTAAACATGAAATTCCACTATCTGGATATGTGAATGGAAACATCAAAGGATATGTGACACACCCAAGGTTAAGTCAATAAAGTTAATGGCAAACTGCATAGCTAATTCATGTGAGGCATTATGAAAGTCAAAAGCATCTCAGTTTTCTCTTCCACTATAAAAGAGTTTTCTTTTGGAAAATGTCCACTAAGGTTAGGATGCTGTAGCTGTTGTGTATGTCATCTCACTGCTCATACTAGTCATAGGCAGGCAGGTAGACTGACATTTAGTCTCTGAAAACCTAATTTTGACAGAAACAAACAACTACATTGATATTGAAAAGAGCCCTAGTGAGATCAGCCTTTGTAAAATCTAGACTTTCTTCCTTTTTGGGCTATAATATTACTGTAAGCTCTGGCTGGCTGGGAAAACACTATGGTTCTGGGATTGTGAGGCATACAGGAAAAGAACAAACAATCAAATCATAAACATACCAGGCTATTGTTTCCCAGACACAACACAGGCTGTTGTCAAGGTAGCACATGGAATTAATTCTAATGCTTGGTGGGATTCATTACTATCCACATGATCCGTGCATATTTGCATATCAGGAAACTCATTGTCATACACACGTGCATCTGCCTCACACAAAAGAGGAGCCTTTTAAAGTTTAATGCATATCATGCATATCAAACTACATATGATCAGATCGTAAACAAGTGATCAATATTGGGTTAAGATTACATGCATAGAGCATGGTGAGCTAAGGTTGATAACAGGTTTAACATTATCAAAAACATTAACTTGAAACATGCAAGTGTGAATGGAAATTTAACTTGCCTAAAGGTTAACTTGCCAAATGCCAGGATTTCGATTTCCTTTCCTGTTGTGCCAAATAATAATAAGGGTTATTGTAAGGCTGTAAACACAAGTGGGCAAACAAGCCTGGGTTAGAGACATAAAGTATAGAACACCTGACTGTTTTATATGACTATAGTCAATCTTTCACTGTATGACACTTTTTCATACTAACTAATAGTCAAATAAAAAAAGCAGGTGTTCTGTAAAATCTTTTGAATAGTATACTTAGTATAGTTGAAAAATAAGAGGGCAAGTCAGTCCACATTTTATTCCAAGACAATCGTACATGTTGCATCAAATTGATTTATCTAATGGATCACAAAATCTGTTTTGCTTGTTTTTTTAATAAATAACATATGCTCTATCAATGTTTTGTATTAAATGCACAGATCGGAGGACGAGGACCAAAGCCCTCTGCCAGTGATAAAGTAACTTAGTCCAGTTCACAATGTAAAATACTTGGGCATCAGGCAATGGATTCTTTAACCATTTTAATCAAAGAATAAATCAGTAAGACATCCTAGGCATTCATTGTAACCATTTGGGTCCCTTATTACAGGCATGAGGTAGCATGGTATGCTGCATACCGCGATAGTTAATTTACAATGGATCGTAATGGCACACGATTACTAACCTATATGTCATACACAAAATGTTTCTTGTTCTTTGTTCAACTTTTATGAAACACAAATTGGGATTGATTGATGCTGATTTTTTTTACCAAGTTCGGTAAACAAAGTACATGTCACTAGCAACTCAAGAGCGGGCAACTCTATATATTTTGTGGTATGATACGTCTGGAATATGTGCATACAACCTAGGTTGGGTCATGGGAATTTGTCCAAACAAATGGGTTCTTTCCTAATCAATTTTGAATGGAAGTAGGGGTAATTTCACTTTAAAAACATGCCAGAAACTAACATGTTTCCTTACAAGACGCCTTGACATACATAATCAATCAAGGGGTGTGGATTTCAAGA